CGAGTCGTCGGGGGTTGCTGCATTCCTTCCTCCTCCTGTGTCACGCTCCCGAGGAGATAGGAAGTCCTGGAACCGGGAGAAAGAGTGGGAATGTGCAAGACAGGTCACCAGGCCGCGGGGCGTGCGGGGGGACAAGGAAAGGAAATTTGTATTCCGACGTTCGCAGCGTTTCTACGATGGCGCTCGAGTTCATGGCCGCCTCGCGCTGATTGTTCGGATAAATAATGGAGTCGAATCGCGCACAAAAAAAGAACGTGTCTTCCATCCAGATAAATCCTCCGGGAAACGAATTGTTGCCAAATGGATTTCTAACGCTTGACATCGACGAAACTAAGATAAAATTTTTGGTGTCCATCGCAAGGGTTGAACATCCTCTGTGTCTCTCTTCTCTGTTAAAATGCTGTTCTTAAATGATTTTCTGACCAAAGGGTGGCTGACACCCTTCGTCCTTTGTCTCGACAACGCGTCAAGGGAGTACATTGGAAACAATCGACGATACAAAAGGGCACCGGAATCTCTCCCGGGCGTTTTGCTCCTGCTTCTGACATCAGCGCGGCGTTACAGCGTTCCGTTTATTTTCGAACAAGCATAACAGTCGAGGTTACGGTCGTTTCTCGAAGCTCATTCAGGATGATACGCTCCGGAAGTGTTTGTACTCGTCGACGCGACGATGGAAACGAGGGGTTGAGTACACCAGGAGGCAAGGGCGGTGGGAGGGTTTTGTTCGACGAGAGCGACGATTTGTTATTGGAACGAAAGCAACTCGGCGGATTTTTCTGCTCGAACGGGAAAGGATCGATCACTTGGACGTGGGAGTGGTTCGTTGTCTCTCGTTGATCAGGGATGTTTGCTTTCGGATTTCAGCGAATTCAGGGAGGATTGATTATCGCCGGCTGATTCGGGACAGAAGCAAAAGTTGACGTTCCAATGATTTTCTGTTACCTCACCACCCTCCTGATTCGGTGCTTTTTATAGTATAAAGTGGTCACAATATTTAAAAATTGTTCAATGTTTGGAATTCGAGTCATCGTCAACTCTGGTAACCAAATTATTAACATTCCTGCTATTTAAATATAGCACACTGTGATATGCATGGTTTAATTATAGTTTCAGGAGAATATTGTCTGAAATGTAGGTTGGAGACAGGAGGACTCGTAGAAGGAAGTCTAAGATTTATTTATACTTATGGGACCGAGAAACGTACTAAGATATCAACGAATGTGAACACTTCCTGTCGATTACCAGCATCGTCTGCGCAATATCCGGTGCTTCTCCTCGGCCTAATGCGTTCATAGAGGCTCGCGGTTAACTCGAATATTAACAATCTAGATGTAAATTAATCGATTAAGACGGCTGACCGCTAAAGGGCTTGGCGATTGAATCGAATTTCCTCGAAGACCAACAGGAACTCCTTCGAGTCGGGGTTCCGTCGACCAACTATGGTCTATACGCATCCAATAATTAGCACCACGCATTTCGTGACGCCTGGCGTTGATTACGACTGAACAATTGCCTTTATAATACCGCAGCGACAATTTAACGAAATGCAAAATGGCCCTCGGGCCAAACTGAATTTGACACGTCGGACAAAAAATGTTTTAAAATCCTTTTAAACGGCTACCGCGTATATCGCCGCGAAAAAAAAACGTAATTTCCGTGAATAAATATTTCAAATTAGTCGCCCGGGGCGGTGTTCAATTCCAGAGGCGGAAAAAATCGCGGTTTTTCGCTGGAAACGATGGCTGGTTTCCGCGAGGCTCGCAGCCCCCGAAGAACATAACATACCTTATTCGTCACAGTCATGAATATTAATCACGGAAAGAATAACTACGATCCCGTGAAAAACCATTATGAATTCCGCGATACCTCCGTTCGGTTTATTTCGCCTTGTAATTACACGCCGTTGGAACAATGGAAATGGAAATGAACATGTTAATCGTCACTGGTATTTCTTCCCGGCTTTAAAGAATATTTAAACGATGGCGCCTTCCGAGGAAAGAAAAGCTTCGCGCGCGAAACGAACAAAATTTAACGAACCCGTCCGCCAACGGCACTCGGTACCAATTTTATTTCCCATTTAGTATCATCGTCCGTCGGTCCAATTTCATTTGTGTCGCAGTTGATACTTACCTTTGAAAAACTAATTCGTCGTTAAAGTTTTCCCGAACGTTATTATAGCGCGATTAAACATGCATGAGAAACTATGTATTCTTTTCGTGATTGTACAGGATTATGCAAAATGGACTATAGGAAGTTTCTTTTAACTAAAAAACAAACTATTTTTATTGCTTTTTTTTATTTAATTATCCAGTATCATCTATGACAATTACGTGTGTACCATGACCATGTTTACAAATGTAAATTCGAACATCAAAATTTTCGATGACTTTTGGTATATTTGCTCGTTCAATTCACCAATTTCATTTCTAATGTTGTTTTATAGGTCATGAATTGTTGCTGGTCTGTTGGCACAAACTTTGCTTTTCAAATAACCCCAAAGAAAAAAGTCCAGTGGGGTGAAATCGTACGAACGGAGTGGTTAATTTACATCACCATTTCTTGAAATTAATCGACCATTGTGTTCACGCGTTGTGTGGCGTAGCTTCGTCTTGCTTATGTCAATTCTATATAATTTCAGCCATAAATAATCAGTAATCATTACAACGTACACCATTTACTGTAACTACACTTCATTTACATTTTCGAAAAATAATTTTTTGGATGAAGTTATTTTTCTTGAATGACTCTTGGATTTTCATCTCCTCATATACGACTGCATTTATTGAGATTAAGATATAATTTATCAGATTTGCACCACCCTTTTAATCTTGCAAGGTCATTCTGAATCGAGCTCGTACAGAAAAGATGATTAACAGGATGAATATTTGGAAAATGGATTGCGTGAGCTTCGTAAGATAATATAATATCAATTTCCACACACTATTTTTGTTTGCAAATATTTTCAGCGCCGATAACGTTTGAAAATGTTTTTAAATCGATATTACATCAGAACCGTTGCTCCAATAACATTCATAACACTATTTCGATTCCACGTAACTGTTTTGAGAGTCGAAATCGATATTATAACGATTTTCAATCCCCACGGTGGATGTGGAAAACTGGCACGCGGATGAACGTGTTAAAATGTAAAATCTCGATGCAGTAAACTGGCGAAGGGACGTTTCAATTTCTGTTGGCACGCGAAATACAATATGTCCCCTAGCGTTTCATCGTTCCCGTTCGCCGTGTATCGGTTCCACCGCGAAGAGTAAATCGAAAGATCATGCTATCGAGCAGTAAATTTCCGGTTACATCCCGTTCCGCGTTATTTAATAGCGACAGCGAAACAGAAGACTGTTTCCACGTGCAATTCGACGGGTGGAACGTCGACGAACGCTTGCCGCGTTAATCTGATACGTTCGCGTCGCTGGCAGGAAAATATGCTCGCGTTGCAATGTAACCTTCAGATCCCGATGGACGTTTAAATTATTTGGTCGATCGCTTGTCCCTGGACACCGTGAACAACGACCCGCAGAAATTGGTATCTCAATCATACAGCGTCGCTGGATCGAACGATGGGCGTGCAAAATTCGAAAAGGTGAGCGTAAGGTCTCCAATGAAAAATCCAGAGGATCTACGATCATCGAGAATAGTTAAATAGAATTCTTAGGGAGACTAGAACTGAGATATCGGGCGATTTTTCAAAGTAAAAATTCAGACTCTTAAATTGTGGCACTTTTTATTTGCACTCGACTATACAGTGGAACATGCTTGCACAGGAGTAGTTTAACTTCGTGATGTCTTCGCAAAGGTCAGCAAATCCCTTGGTTGCATCTGTTAAAAAGAAAGTGAAGATACAGTCTTCGAATAATATTCTTTTCTGTAAGCTTAACCCTTCAGTGGACTTTTAATTTCGATTGAATTATTTTACTTAACGTTGATTTTCACCAAATTGGTAAATGGAAATCAACTTTCCTTTAATCCCTTGACGTACGATCTAATTCCGAGTAATTTTTCAAACGTATAATATTTAATTTTAATTAAATTTGTTCGTGCAAGGAATGGCCACGGAAAAGAATAGATTTGTTTTATGAATACCTCGTGAATGTAAAAATGTGTTGATTTTAATATATAAGACTTGATGACCCGTGAGTAGCCTCATGATTGCGAAAGTTGACATCAAGAATTGTAACGAGTCAAACACGTTATTGTACGACAAGGGATTAAAACGTTTGGAAAATAATGAACTAATGGAGGATTACATAAATATTCAAATAATTAGTTTAAACTTGTGGAGGCCCCCAATAGTCCACTTAACACGTGGATCAAAACTTTCATTGTAGGCAATTGTAAACTACACAACTTAAAAGTTGTCGTAGTAGTTGCTTTCGTAACCTCATTAAAATTTACGAAGCCTATTGAAATTTATTTTTTTTAACATTTCAACTTGAGAATTCATTATTACAGCTCTACTGTTAAAAGTTCTGTCACCCACATATGGGTGACGTGGCAGTCAAAGTGTTAAGGGTTGTTATGATTAGCCCAATAAATACTACTATCGTTAAAAAATGCACTAAGCCCCTCGACCCACCTATTATCTCCTAGTGCATTCTCGATTGCATCTCCGCCACGTGGTGATGGTGCATGTGGTTTCGATACATGACATCTTGCGGGCGCTCCGCCATCGTCATGAAGGACATACGATTGTCTCCGTTGTCGACAGATTGCAAGAAGCTCACACCATGTTGCATGCAGTTGCAGTTGTGAGTGTGGTGAGGACAATGTGGAACCTTGACCACCGTGGGTTCAGGTATCACAACCATTGGCTTTGGTGGAACGACGACCAACTTGTCGTTGCATGGACGCTCCACAGGAACAAAGTTGATAGTTTCCATCCGTTGAGGTTCCGGGGCGACGATCCTCTCCGGTTTTGGTTCAGGTTTTGGTTTAGGAGCTGGCGGTTGGGTGACGATCTCGGTTTTCGGAGTTGTAGTTGCCTCGATCTGACGCTCGATGATGTTCACAGACGCCTGTTGAGGGCAAGGTTGAGGTTGTTGGACGATCTGCAGGGTGTGAACCGGTGGAACCACTTGCTGAGGAATCATGTAGGAGTGTTGGTGAACCATCGGGGCGCTTTGGATGACGCTCATAGCCTGGACAGGCTGAGGAGCCGATTGGAAGTTGTAGGTTTGAATCTGTGGAGCCGTTTGACACTGTTGGGGGACCAAGTTGAAGGTTTGCACCGCTCTTTGACCCTCGGATTGCAACGAAATTTTCGCTGATTCTTGGTTCTCTCCTGCAGGATGTACGTCCACCAAGAAGGTAGACTTCTTGGATCTGTCGTTGTCGTTTACATCGTCGACTTCCTGGAGCTCTATCGCGTCCTTGCTTAACTCGTCGGTTAGAGACTTCTTCTCGATCCTCGTAGCTGGCACGGCCTGAGCCACTGCCAAAGCCAACAACAGAACGGCGAAACTGGCGTTTAGATGCATCGTACGATACCGAAACTCAGCGTTGTACTGAGGATTTGTTCGCCAGAGCTGGTTTTTAAAGGAATGTGCATGCGTTTCCTGGTGCCTCGTTACCGCGAGGGTGTTGAAATCGCGCACGCATATCAAAACACTCGACGCTGCTGACACGTGATAAATTTCGACGCGATTATGCAAGTTGTTGACAGAACGATCGGTGCAAGCGTGGATCACTTTTACTTGAAATTGACTCGTTAATTTAGGGCTGGATACATTTTCTATATTCTATTAGGGGAGTGTATTATTGCAGAGCAGATTAGAAGAAGATTCCCTTCCAAATTCTCAGCGAAAGTATTATAAAATGGCGGGTTGAGAACCATAGTGGTGTAATCCACATTTTAGCTATTCTGCGTAAAATGATGTTTTGTGTTCATTGTTTAAAAAAAACCAGGCAAAAACACTTCTACAAGCTCAGAAACGTGTTATAAAATGTCTGTATATAAAAATTGAAGGATGTTTAAATTCTGGAGTGAAATAACCACTGAAGTGTAAGTTTCATTTTAGCTGTTTTGCAATCGTTGATTAAAAAGATTCCAGATAAATATTAAAGTTACAGAAACACATCTGAAAGTGTAGAAAAGTGTTAAAAAATATCTGTGTATGAAAATAATTGAAGAGCGTTTAAATTCTCGAGTGAAATTTCAGAAACATATCAGTTAGTGAAAATTTAATAATGAGTACAGTTTTAATGAAGAATAATTTTTAACGTACAATATAATATGTTCTTTCATTTTTATGTAGAAATATTAATAATAGAGCGTAAGGTGGACTTATACCATTATGGTTCGAAATGCTTTGCTAACTTTGTTTAGTGACAAACTAAAGTTTCGCCATTTCTCAGCAAAGTATGAAGTAGATCGATTTTTACGATAAATAGAAGACATCTCGAAGGTTTCAAATCCATTGTTAATTCAAATTTGAAGAATTTAGACTTACACTGAACCCGCCAAATAATGAAACTTTTGAAACAGGAAGAATACAATTTTCACCCCAAATTTCACGCGTTGCTTTCAGAATTTCGTATCCAAACTTGCTGTTTTTGTTTCGCTTTTGTTCGCGTGAATTTAATAACGTCGCTCCTCTGCTTATTAAATACAATATTTCTTGAATAATACAAAACAGAGATATTCTGTATGCGACGCGTTACGTACTAAATACTGTTCACTTTACCTATGTAACTGGATCCTAATTACCACGTTTCTACCATGCGTCGCACATACGTGTCACGCAAGCGTGCATACATACGTGCATACGCGAGGGAAACTATTGTCCTATGTTCTATCCGTATGAACAAATAAAGTACGAATTATCGACCATTGTCGCGTTATGTGAAACACCACATTCGCCATATTCAATCGGCCTATTTAACGTATAATTTAAATCCGCGTTCTATAAAATTACTGGAAATGTAGCGTGGTCTGTGGTGGACTATTTCCCACCTGAACGGCGGTAGCAACCGTGTTTACCTCTTTTATCGTCCAATTCACACCGACAACATCCGTTCCCAACTACATATATCAGTCCCCATCCGCTATTTATCCAGATTTCCACTCCCTTTATTCGCTAACCAATGCTTCGACCACGCTACCAAATCGTATATACAGACTTTGCACTCCAAATTCAATTTTTCCTAAATCAAACCTTTTGTTTTGAAGCACCGTGATCTCGTTGGTCTTTCCACCACCATGTTCTCCGACGGCGAATATCATCGATGAATCTCTTTCAAAAATCAAATTACGCGCGAAACTCATGTTAGAATTATTTCTTTTGGATAACGAGGGTGAATGGATTGTCAAAAATTTGCTTCGTGTCCATTGAACTAGACAATATAGATTACAATAATAGACACTCTTTATCACATTTGGCACGCACGATTTTGTATTAAATCATTCAAACTGTCTTTAATATTTACCACTATCGACAAAATCCGATTTTGGTATTTTAGTATCGACTAATACGCGGTATGGTTTTGACGTCCATCAAGTATTCACGAAATTGAAGTACTTGAGCTATCGATACTTTTCAGCGCTTCCTGGTAAGAACTTACTATCGCACCAAGCTACTAGAGTCACGTCGATACCTAAAAGTATCAGTCCCATCAGGAGTTTGGGTCCTTAGAGGATTTCCGGAAGGGAGGTTAAACAGCCAAATGTATTTTTCATCGCGTAGCTTTCCGTATTACCAGAGTGTGCTTCAAGCAGCCTGTAACATATCCCTAATGGCATGACCTAACCGAGCTGGAGTGCACTAACAAATCTGCGATACGATCCTTATGAAATATTTCTTAATCTTTGTTTAAATACACTCGATCAAGGTTTAAGACTCTTCAAACAATAATACATTTCTTACTTTAATTTTGGTCTAGTCAGTGGAAATAATCGACTTGTGTACTGTTAATATTTCAAGATAATATTTTGGTAAACTTTCACATAGATAAATGAGTAAATTGCTACAATTTCGAAATCACTGTTATTTCTGTCAGTATATTGCAGTTTAACATTCAGCTCGAATATTGTACATTTAATGATTTTCAAAGATAAAAACGCTAATTGAATGATCATAATTGTATTTTGAACGGAATGAGGGTATCCATAACATTAGAGAGACTGAATTTAGATAGAAATTCAATGAGATTAATCACAGGAGGGGAAATTGGATCGAGGAAATTAAAACAATTTTTAACGAGCTAGGGAAATTGCTGTGTTAAATTAAAAATTCAGGGAACCTTCAATTATCACTAGACTGCGGATATTTATGCAAATTCAGATTTTTATTCATAGGACTAATAAAGTGAGAGGGTATCTTACTCTAAGTATTTCTTATATTTTTGCATATTAAGTGCATTCTGTAGTTTTTCGAGAATTAAAATGTCCAATAAATGCATACACATTCGCAGCCCAATTATCACAGTTCGATAAGTACAAGTTAATAGGATTTTCAGGGAGATCAGGACTGGGATCCCAAGTGGTAAGTGCCCAGGTTAAACATTAAAATTTTACACTCTTATATTGCATCATTTTTTATTTGCACTCGGTGGAATTGCATATACAGTGGAATATGCTGCCACAGGACTAGTATAACCTCTGCGTGATGCCTTAGCAAAGGTCAGCAAATCTCATGGTTACATCTGTTAAACAAAAGAAAAAGAAAACTATGAGTAACCATAGTATCATCTTCTGAGAGCCCCATATAATTAGCCCAATGAATACCATCGTTAAAATCACTTGAATCTTATCTCATTTTCAGACAAAATACACTTGTACAATTATGCTAATCGACTCTCGACCCACCTGTTTTCTCCTAGTGCATTTTCAAGTGCAATTTCGCCGCGTGGTGAGGGTGCGCATGGTGTCGACGCGTGACTCCGTCAGGCCGCATGTGGTTTCGATACATAACTTCGTACGGGTACTCGTCCACCATCATGTAGGACATCTGGTTGGCCTCCGTGTTAACATTTTTCACGGGCCCCATGCTCAGCGCACAGTTGCATTCGTGAGAGTGGTGAGGACAATGTGGAACCTTGACCACTGTGGGCTCAGGGATCACAACCATTGGCTTTGGTGGAACAACGACGAACTTGTCGTTGCACGGACGCTCCACAGGAACAAAATTGATAGTTTCCATCCGTTGAGGTTCCGGGGCGACGATCCTCTCCGGTTTTGGTTCAGGTTTTGGTTCAGGAGCTGGCGGTTGGGTGACGATCTCGGTTTTCGGAGCTGCAGTTGCCTCGATCTGACGCTCGATGATGTTCACAGACGCCTGTTGGGGGCAAGGTTGAGGTTGTTGGACGATCTGCAGGGTGTGAACCGGTGGAACCACTTGCTGAGGAATCATGTAGGAGTGTTGGTGAACCATCGGGGCGCTTTGGATGACGCTCATAGCCTGAACAGGCTGAGGAGCCGATTGGAAGTTGTAGGTTTGAATCTGTGGAGCCGTTTGACACTGTTGTGGGACCAAGTTGAAGGTTTGCACCGCGCCTTGACCCTCGGATTGCAACGAAATTTTCGCTGACTCTTGGTTCTCTGCTGCAGGACGAACATCCACCAAGAAGGTAGACTTCTTGGATCTGTCCTTGTCGTCTACATCGCCGACTTCCTCGAGCTCTATCGCGTCCTTGGTTAACTCGTCGGTTAGAGACTTCTTCTCGATCCTCGTAGCTGGCACGGCCTGGGCCACTGCCAAAGCCAACAACAGAAAGGCGAAACTGGCGTTCAGGTGCATCGTGAGATAGCGAAACTCAACGTTGTACTGAAGATTCATCCGACGAGAGTGGTTTTTAAAGCAGCACGCACGCACTTCGCGATAGCTACACGTCATTGTGAAATGTCGAAATTCCTCAGGCAGGTCGCTGACCATGCTAAATTTCGACATTGTTGCGTCGATTGTTTACAGAATTTTCGGTGCATGTCTGGACTCCACGTGTCGTGAGATCGAAAAATTTGAATCCTGTTTGGGAAATTTCTCATAAAATAGTAAATATTCCTTCCGTGTTAATGATTGTTCAAAACCTCGAAAAGAAATGGAAAATTGCAATATCCGGGAATCTTCGGAATCGTTTGTGCTCTTGACTTATACGTCTTAACCATATCTTTTGCATAACGTTAGAAAGGAGTCAGGAATAGGCAGACTCAGGTGTCTGGAGTGCCATTTTATTCTGCCGTTTCTGGAATGTATTTGTTTAAGGGAGCGTCCCGTAAAGACCATTGCAGACCTTCCGATACGGCCATAATAACTGTATAATTTCAGCCTGTATTTACGTACCACCGCATTTCGCCACGAGAAGCAGAATAATTGAGGACTCGTTCGGTCGAGAGTTGCAAAACTCGGTCTTGTTATCGTCAGCGTTATGATTATTATTACGTCCTCCTCTGTCAGGCTTCGAAATGGTGTTTCCAAACAATAACGCGCTACACATAATAACATAATGCAATAATTCAACCATTGCTCATAATATTTACTGCAAATTATTCCTGAGGGTGTACTGAAATAAAGAAAACACGTGCACGCGCTTGTAGCCACCCTCTGTTTCTAACGAGGCTAACTAGAATCCTTGTAAACATTATAAGACGGACGGCGCTTAGACTAATTAAATATTTAAAGATATATTCAAAATGAAAAATAAGATTTTGTTTTAAATTTTTAGAAACCCATAGAGGTATAGAATACAGTAGGATATAAATTTCGATTGTCTACTTTAATAGAATTTATTGTCGAGATCGTAACAAGATCTAGGTATTTCACTTGCACGTTTGCCCGAAAGGAAACCAATGAGTTCGTAGTCATAAAAAATCATCTATAAATCTTAGTCAGCAACCAGGTTGAACAATTTATCCTCCATAGAGACAGTTCATTCATCTTTTAATGGGAGAAATGGATTTCCGACCCATCCATTCTACCAACCATTTCCATCGATCTTCTTTGTAGAATGTAGAACTCGAAACGTTTTTCTAAATTCGACAAGTGTTGACAGATGAAGTTCCCCGGGGATATAATATTAGTCTCTTTGCCTCCAACCGACACGATTATTGTTAGATTCCGAATCACGTCGTAACAATTTCTTCGAGCTCGACTGTTCCATTATATTTAGCTTTGGTTTTTACGCGTCGATCTCGTTACTTGGCAATTATTTTCACATTGCTACAACCAAAAGGAATAGTCGAGAGAAATTTAAAGGGTTCTAATTGAAATCGAATCCGATTTTCCATGCTCTGATTGAGATACGATCAATAACGTAACAGTTCACCGATCAAATTCTGATTGGACATACTATTTAGGATCGATTTAGGATTTCATTATGGTTCCATTTCATTTCAAATACATTTTTAATCCCGAACATGCAATTTTAGATTTATTTACATTTATTACAGTGTTTGTACTATCTCCTACTGTTTTTACGCTATGGCTAGAGCCGGTTGCGTTGAAACCTCTGTATTCTAAAGTGGAAAATTGGATTTTATTTCAGCTTTTTCAAAAATGGAGCGCGTTGCATCGATGCTTTTTCTGTCGAAACCTTTTCCGAACTCATAAATTGATATATCACGTAACCTTTTACATTTATTATAAATCCCACTGAATACTTTAACATTTGTTTTCAAGCAAAAGATTTGTTCGATAAATAAATGCAACAGTTATTTGGAAATATTACCACCTCAATTATATTTCGAACTTGTTATCGTAGTATTATAAAGTGCGTTACAGGTCGCGTTAATAATCGAAGCATGTTGATTTCAGTTAAAATTAAAGAACAAATTTATAATCCTCAAGGAATATGCGTACGTATAAACACCAAGGCTTGGTTAAATTACCATTAATTACCATAATCATTAACGTACTTTGAAATCTTTTCAAAATGGTGTCTTTTAAGAGGACAAACTTTGAACAGAAATCGCTAGCTCGTGAACGTTTTCCTCGTAAACTGCACTCTATAATATTAACTAATCCTTCTTAATCGATCCATCTTTGCGTCCTCTTTAAAAGAATATTAAGAGCCCTAGATCGAAAGCGGTGATCCATTTAGAAGTTACGAATTTTACCACGAACGTTCATATACTCGTCACGCTGCGCGACGCTTCGCAGAAATGATCGATGACGTTTAAATAAGAGAGACGATCCCGTTAAAAAAATAACCAATTAAATCCATTTAAATTATGAATAAGAGAACATTCTCAAAAATTCATTTGTACCGGTTGTTATTTAAAAACAGACACTCCAGGTCCGATAGTTTCCAGAATATTTATTTCGAAACAACCTACAATATTCAGTTCCTTCATAAATAACAATCACCAAATTCGTAAAAATAATTCCATAGGTATTCCATACCACCAGAACGATCCTCGTAGTTTTCCAGAATATTTATTTCGTAACAACCAACAATATTCAGTTCCTTCCCAAATAACAATTGCCAATTACATAAAAATAATTCCATAGGTATTCTATAACACCAGAACGATCCTCATAGTTTTCCAGAATATTTATTTCGAAACAGTCTACAATACTCAGTTCGTTCTAAATTAATAATCGCTAATTTCGTAATAATAATTCCATAGATATTCCTCAACTCCAGGACGACCATCATAATTTTCCAGAATATTTATTTTGACACTGTTTATAGATATTCCTTAACTCCAGGACAACCCTCATAGTTTCCCAGAATATTTATTTCGAAATAGTCTACAATACTCAGTTCGTTCTAAAGGAACAATCGTCAATTTGGTAATAATAATTCCACAGATATTCCATAACTCCAGGACCCTCATAGTTCCCCAGAATATTTATTTCGAAACAGTCTACAAAATTCAGTTCTAAAAGAACCATCACCAATTTCGTAATAATAATTCCACAGATATTCCTCAACTCCAAGACGACCCTCATAATTTTCCAGAATATTTATTTTGACACCGTTTATAGATATTCCTTAACTCCAGGACGACCCTCATAGTTTCCCAAAATATTTATTTCGAAACAGTCTACAAAATTCAGTTCTAAAAGAACGATCACCAATTTCGTAATAATAATTCCACAGATATTCCTCAACTCCAAGACGACCCTCATAATTTTCCAGAATATTTATTTTGACACCGTTTATAGATATTCCTTAACTCCAGGACGACCCTCATAGTTTCCCAGAATATTTATTTCGAAATAGTCTACAATACTCAGTTCGTTCTAAAGGAACAATCGTCAATTTCATAATAATAATTCCACAGATATTCCATAACTCCAGGACCCTCATAGTTCCCCAGAATATTTATTTCGAAACAGTCTACAAAATTCAGTTCTAAAAGAACGATCACCAATTTCGTAATAATAATTCCATAGATATCCCTTAAGAGTGCCATCGGTCATCGTTTCCATTCCATCAAGGAAGCATTAGAGGCCCTGTTACCAATTTTATCTCGACGGGTTCGGGCTCGGTATATACTTCTGTGGATTCCAACGGTCCTTCTTCATTGAGAGGCTGCTCCTGCTTCGTGTTGCTCTCCTTGAATTCCTTCGAATCCTCCGCAGAAATACCTTTACCAGCAGCGTCCCTTTTCCCCTTAAACTCCTCCTGCGACTGGTCCTCGCGAGGATCGCGACCACTGTTGCCACGATCGTCGTCGTTCGTCTTTTTAACGGCCCCATCTCTTCCATAAACGATCTCGACAGTCCGCAGTGGACTCCTTTCAGGCTCCCGCTCCTTTCGATCCTGCCAGACGCTACCATTGCCTCCCACGATTCCGTCTCTGGCGACGTTCTGCACCCTCCTTAGGACATCATGTTCCGGTGATAGGTTGTAGCCACTGTGCTTGATCTCTTCAGATTGATCCCTTCGAGGTTGAAATAATCGATCCACTCCTGGCATTCTGGAGCCCGCTGGACTGCCTAAATCGGGAACCTGCCATCCGGAATACTGTTCGGATCGAGCGTTAGGGTACTCGTCCTCCACGGAGTCGTCGTTGAACCTGTCCGCCCTGTAGACTGGGTGAATATTCTTCTTGGAGGCCTCGTAGGCGTTTCGCAGCCTCTCGACGCCCTCGAAATAGGGTTCCTCAACGGGGGAATAATAATCAGAGTATTGGTCTTGAGTCGACAAGTCGGATTGAGGTCTGACAGCGTCGTAGAAGCTCGATTTCCTGTAGGGAGTCTTCTCGAAGGCTGAGACGCGTGGCTGATAAGGGGTCACCGGAGCATCTACGTTGTAAAGAGAGGAGGACGGTGCAGGAGCCACATTAGAATCGAATTTTCTCTCGAAGGCGAAGGGATTCTGGCGTTTGCATGTGTTCTCGGCTCTGTTGACGATTGGCGTGGCTTCTCTGCCTCCAAGGGCTCGGTTGTACGGGCCGTAAGGGTACGAAGAGTACGGTGAGGACTCGAAGGGTTGGTTCCTAGGCCTGTGAACGATCTCCGACTCGATGCCACGGTACTCTCTTGGGGATGGTGGCACAGACCTGAAAGAAACATTTTTAAACTCTTATTTCACTAACGATTCTTTGAGGAGACAGTAGAAGCGAACAAAATGACCCATTCGTAATTTCTAATAAAAATTGTAAAATATTTATTTCCATTAAGCTATACATATCTTCGAGTATCCATCGTTTAGATTTCTTTGGTATAAATAAATGCACTATAATCGTTGGTAGTTCTAGCGTTCAAAGATCCAAATTTCGAATTGAAATTGGTCAAATAAAAATTTATTTATTACTTTCATGACACAAATATAATAATGAGAATGCTTTTCAAAGAATATTAATCATTCTTGGATACATTCTAATTCTAGGATACACTTTTATCGAAACTCCGGTCTCACAATTTCACGATTATGGTCCGACAGTCGACAGTTAAAGGTTGACAATTTATTACACAGTTACTAAATCGTGGCAAACGTAATAATTTCCCCGGACTCCGAGCCAGAATATATTCTACTATGGCAGAGAATATCGAATTTCTTACCAGGATGCCAGGGCGTCTGGGCGATCTCGAGCGCACGAGGGACAGGAAGCATGTCTAGGATTCCTTGCTCGTCGATCGTAAATCCGTGGCGATCCAGCGACCAGGATCACGTCCACGACCAGACAGAGCAGGACGAATTCCCAAACGATTCTACCGACCATGCTATCGGGTTGTTATTAAGCACAAAGTTGATCGACGACTCTTTATATATCCCGACACGCGACAAGGACGCGCGTGTAGATTTGTTTTCAGTCTCTCTCGGTTGCATCATAATCCCGCGCTGCAATTTATGCAGGAGGAGACCGAGACGATCTTCCGGGAAGACTCGCCGCGAACCTTGATCCACTTTCCGATGTTTTGCTGGAACTTCAGGGACTGTTGAGATTACGATGCAAATGAAATTTGCGAACGTCTTGTTTAGCTGTCCCCCACTTCGCGTATCGTTCGAGCCGATCTGCCAATTATGACGAGAAATCGGACAGTTTCGGACGTAGCGATTTTGGCACAGGGCTCGTCGAATCCCTTCGATGCGTTTTTGGTTGTTTGTAGATTTCCGCGCGTAATTCTCTTTCGTTTCGTTAATTTGGTAGGACGCAATAACACGGAAAGAATAAATATCGGTTCCCGTGGATTTGCAGCGTGAAATAACAATAATAAATAACGACGTCGTTGCCTGGAATATGGGCACGCGAGCAATAGTTTTCGCTCGTTGACAAAACTTGTTACGCGATATACGGGGAACTTCCATTCCCCGTCCCCCAACCGTATTTGTTTCGAACCAACTTTGCACGCCCGGTGCAATTACACTAATCATTGCTTCCACAGATGAATCCACGCATGCAAAGCAAATCTGGCTCCCGTTGTACGCACAGTTTGCATACGTTTCGATTTATACGGCGTTCTAAATTCACGTATCCCATGAAAATATTGCAATTTATAAATTAGAATCTGTCAACAAATTTTTTTAACCGATACTCGGCCCGAGACAATTCTGCCTAATCGCCTGATGGCATTGCAAGCATTGCTGAAAGATGAAAGAAGAGAATCTTCAGTTTCCATTGGCTTAAAATAGTCTAACAATGCGTATTAGAAATAGTTAAATTTTAGACGAGTGCAATTCCGAAAATACTAGAGTTTTTCCCATAATTGAGCCACTGTTAGAAGTGGTAAGGCCTCCCCTTTGAAACGGTTTTTGGTTTATATCGATTGGACTTTCCGTTTTGAAGATATCGTAATTTATGTAAAGGGGTAATTTTTCAATTTCCACCATCTCTGTCTCCGTCTTACGCGTCGGATCTCACTCTCGCTCTCTCTCGTACGTGACCGAGTGACCGAGTGACGTAGTGTTTACTATTCACTACGAGCACGTGCGGTCGATGACCTTGACAAGCCCGTAGTGAAAGTTCATTCACCTCGCGACGTAAACAAACGCTTCGAACCCTTATATCTCCGGAACTAGCCACCGCATCGACTTGAAATTAAAACTGTCATATCTCCGGAACTAATTACGCCATCGACTTGTTCGAACGCTCGTTTTAAAGGGCATTTCATCCCCTATCCAATGACTATACCCTCACACTTACTTTGACACTGTATACCTAAAGAAGTTACTCCTATTGATTACACGACTGATGTGCGATAAAACTCGATTATAAATTCAATTGAAAATGAATTTAAATTTCTATACAGGACGTTTCCATAATTACTATCCCAGCATTTTTTCGTAAATAATTGTTTTCTCCGGAACTAAGTATCCACCTGAAACAAAATTCGTTTTCAAATACGTTTTATCTTCTATGCGATTCTAATTTAAAAATTTCTTGGTAGGAATGGATATACACGAAGCGTCCATAGGTTTGATGTTAGCATCTCAAGCTTATTCAATTTCGAATCCAATAAGTCGTTAAATTTTGATGGTTGTTGGGGAATAAAATTTCCTCGACTCCTGTGGAACCTAATGTTACCAACCGCGTCTTAATATTCACTAAAAGCAAGGGCGATAGAAATTTCGTGTTGTACGGTCCAACGAGCATTCGACCCACCGAGAGCACGTATCGCAACAGTCTATGGGAGTTTCTAGGCCCGGTTACGAACCGCGAGGGGGGTGGTTCCCCATTTGCCATTTACTCGATACAGATGTTTCGCGATGGAATGATCATTGGACTGCAACTCGGGGCATCCCCGTCGAGCAACAAAGCTTTTCTCGCAGCCCCCTTAACGCTGCACTCTTCGTTGTTTCCACTTCAAAGGCCGATACGAATGCGCTCGAGGATCCAACTCGAACGTGTTCCCAGCAACCAAGTTCGCAGCAACCGAACGATGAATAATTTATGCCGGGAGAATAATAACCGACGCATCGTCTGCTACCGACGAGAATAAATTCTGACGAAAACACTCGGGAGAGACGAATCTCGCGTGTTTACTGGAGCTACCTATCGAACCGTGGAATAAAGGAGAATGTCTAACGTCTTATAGGCCGGTTGGGATTAGGTTCGTAAGCCCATTTCAGCCACACGAGGTTTATCAAATTAGCAACGGTGGTGGTTCCAATTTCTCATTTTATTATCATACTTCTCATCGCTTATGAGGTTTAATTATTTGTAAAATTCTCTGTTTATTACGTTATTTTACAAATTTATAGTCGCGATTTAAATGGACACTGTAGAGCAAAGAAATAAATCGATCCTCTATTGTGATTGGCTTCTGGAAAGGATTAGTCAATAGTTTTTATTTTAATACCCTAGTGCGAGATATTTGTAAAATGGTTGTTTGACACAGATTATATTTCCAGGCCATACTGTTGGAAAAAAATATTCTCAGAGGTTTATTTTCCCAAACGTTTCTTCGCAGGCAGAACGCAGACGACGATATAATATCGAAGAAGTCATTGCAGTCGGTGAAGCAAATCATGAACTTCCTGAAAGAACGTACGTAAGATAACAAGAAAACCGTAACCGAGAAACGGTAATTAAAATGCATGGAAGACCAGAGCACGACGAATTTCATATTCAAATTTGATTTAAGAAGCTAATGGAAATCACGCGGGTTTAATTTTCCGGGGTCAATTCACGTTCGTCCGGGGACGTGAAAATTAATTTTTGAAAAATCAATCGAACGGCTACGCGTCGCGAGCAATTTAAAAATTTATTAAAAATATTGAATAATATTTAATTTCCGAGCACTCGAGTTACTATTGTCTCGTATCGTACCTTCAAACTGTCGACGAAAAATATATTTTGTCCACGTTTTATGGCTCGTGAACGTAAATTCGGTGTTTGTCGGCGATACGCGCGGAAAGTGACGTTTACTCGCAAAAAGTTTCGCGTTTCTGTGTTAAGATGCCAGAGAGGAGGGTTTGTTCCGGCGCTCGGGTCGCCGTGATCTCAGAAGACGGATCCTAAACTCGTTGAAGAAAGGGGAAAGACCGGATTTGGACAACAACAACGTGGCCCTGGAGTGCGCAGCCGCGTTGCAGCTATTCCTCGGCCATCTCAAGAAACCTGTGATGCCCCAACACGTGCAACAACTTCTTCTAGGTACTCGAGAACCGAAGAAATTGATTTGCACCTTTGTATCGGCTGTTGAAATAATAGAACTCGAGAGATACGTACAAGTTCCTTATCTTAAAGGGTCGTCGAAACAAATTTTAGCAGAGCGTTCGAATAAATAAATTATTAAAATTTAAATAAAGAAAGGGTTAATGAGTATGACGCTTAAGGAGGGATTGTAACAGCGTTAAAATTTAAAGTTTCTTATTTTTTCGTAAATAATTAAAAGTTCTGTTGTACTAGACTTCTAGAGACGCGTAGAGAGACCCTTAAACTATACGAAAATATTTTTTTAGTAAATTTTGTTTAGCTTATTAAATAGTAGTTATATCTTTTAATCTAAGATCCAGTCACAAAGATCAGAACGCAACATTTTCTTAATGCTGGTTAGTCTTCACTGCTACTGAACTTACTTTAAACAAAAAATACGGAAAATTAAGAATATTATATCATTTTGAAGAAAACATTTTTTTTTGTGTAGAAACTTTTTCTTCAAAATGCTATAGTTTCCTAAATTTTCCATGTTTTTTGTTTAAAATAGGTTTAGTACCAGTGAAAACCAACCAGCTTTAAGAAAATTTTGCGTTCTGATCTCTATGACGGAGGCTACTTTGTACACCTACTATGCTTAACTACTACTTAATAAAAGATAATAAAAAATTATTTTTCGCGCCCCTAAGTATCTAGTACAATAGAACTGTCAATGCTTTGCGAAAAAAAATAAGAAAGGAAACGTTAAACTTGAACGCTGTTGCGCGAGACTCCCCTCGTAGAATGAGAAAGCAACACAGTGGTCAAGTGACACGTATGGACACTGTTGAAACGCTGAACCTGTCGTATTAGCATATCGGGCTCATCTACGGGGAACACGCAAAGATCTAATCGCGCATAATAGAAAGCTCTTGATCCAATAGTCGGCGTAAATTGTGATTCCATTCGTACCCGTCAGGGAAGTAAGAACGACCGGTCATTAAATGGTAATTTTGCATCGACCAGCTGACAATCCTGGGGTGACCGCCCACGTGATTGCACGGGACGCCTGGGGTTTAATACGACAGGACGTCGGCGGCCGTCACGGGGAGCTTCTGGCCGGGCTTCTTGATTTACTGAGACACTTGACTCTTTCCGGCCCTCCATCCGAGAGATCGGAACTACGCGGTTCGCCACTTCCGATAGCGCTACTTCCAGTCTTTTTCACTTTAACGGTAAGCCCCTAACCGAACGTTAAACGCGGGGATTGGTACGACGTAAGGACAATGATTCGTCTCTCCCAGAGATGCCAGTGAGCTCGTAGAGTTTCGAAGAGTCGACAAAGACAAACTGTTACATGCTCTCTTTCTCGATTCTCCGAATCTGCCCGAAGTAATTTCGGACCGTCTCGTGGGAGACTAGAGAGAAAGGCTCATATTTGCCTTCTTTTTAACGTACACAGCAATCATATGAAAAGGTTAAATGAAACTAACAAATTTTCGATCTATTATATCTGGCACCTCATCTACTGCTGTAAGGAACGAACTACTTCCCGACAAGCTTGGGCATTCTGGTCGTTGATAGCGGTATAGTCCATCATAAAGTAGCATGTACTTTTAAATGTTCCTACAGGCCACTGCTGACCACTCCTCCAAACACTGAAAAGAAATAAAAAAAATCCACCTCCCCCGCCCCTTTAAATTGCAAAGCACTGTTAAAGTAACTTAAAGTTTACCTTGGTACTTATTTTTCTAACTTCATTTAACGTTGTTGCAGGCACTGAGGTGTATCCTAGTTTTAACTGTTTTAACATTTAACCTAAGGGGCGATATAAAGAACGTTCTCCAAAAAATTTGAAATTCCGAAACGCGAACGATTTAAAATATGGAGATCGTTCGTGCAACTGATCGATCGGATCCCATTGCAGCCAGCTGACCTGGTGAAATGGAAGCAAGTTGCCGCCAGATTCAGCGAATTAATTACCGAAGCCTCTGTGCAACTGCAGCTGAATGAAAATCGATCGTGTGACAGAGAATCCACGGATGGTTCGAACGGAAACACCGCCGACAACGTAAGAAACCAAACCACCGTTATGGTCTGAGGAAAAAAAATTCGTCTGCATAGGTTACCATGAATCATCCTGTTTGACGAAGCTATCGAAGGGCACTCTACTACAATAAAAAAACGAATAATACGTTTATTCGTAATTTTATTCATACTACTGGTATTTCCATAATAAAAATTTTAAATGGCGAACTTAAGATCTGCCTGTAAATTCAACGATGGCTCGAAGTGGTAGACTATTTTTTAAACCGAGGTTTAATAGATAGTATGGGTCTATGTTAAACTCTTTACGACAATATAACGATAAAGCAAATTTTTCATCAAGATCGTTTACTATGCGATATTTTATGGTGATTGACGGCTTTTCCTGACGATTATTCTGAATTAAAATTATAATCAATTTCGACAAATAATCCATGTGTATACAGCAGCTATCATAAATACACTGATATGCGATTGATTGGATAATTCCTCGTAACATTATAAATATAAATAAAACCGCTTCAGATATTATTCTATTTAATTAATTTTTTAACAAGTCTCTGGTAACTAAAAATTAAATGGCAGACTTTATACCAAATTAAATAAATATGTTAATTAAATATTTTATTAAGTATATATGTTTGTTCATTAAAAGCTTGTGACAGACTACCTGAATTCTTCGTTTTTAAAATAACAAATATCGAATAGAAACAGATGAAATGTATATGAAATCTTCTTAACTAACAGTAGCTTGCAAATCTTCAACTTCAGCGAGTTTTCATAGATGTCCTCCCAATCATTGTTTTGGCGGGCACCACAATTATGAAACACCTGGCGCCATCTTTAATAGGGGATTCTAACCAGAGGTGCCAGAAAAGCACCGACGGTGCCCTACTCACACATGCCAGATCACGCGTACGTGAGCTCGTGGAGTTACGGAAAGTCGACAAAGGCAAATGACGCATGCCCTCTTTCTCGATTCTTCGAAGTAATTTCGGACCGCCTCGTGGGAGTCGAGAGAGGAAACACATTTGCGTTCTCGCTCTTGGACAACTGAAATTCGACCTCACGTCGACGGCATAGGATTCCAAGTCTCGACTGGCCAGGTATTTTTTATTTTCCGACCTATGTATGTAGACAAATATAAGCAAGATACTATAATGAACAAAATTTTGTGAAATTTTTCTTACGGAAATACACGTTTTATGACCCCCTGATCATATTTGAATTATTGAAAAAAGATAAATTCATTTTTATTATTCCCATATATGAGCGGACATATGTCTATCATTTCAGATATCACTTCTGATACATCTGGCAACGTATAACCATTACTGCTGGCTACTGCCAGCCACTCGCAGCCTCCGCTGGCCTCTGCTGACCACCCCTGATGCTTCTAACAACGTATAACTATTACTACTTGTTACTGCTGGTCTCTGCATGCCTCTACATCCCTCTGCTGACCTCTGTTAGCCCCTGCTGACCACTGCTGACCACTGCTGACCTTTGTTATCAACTTCTGACATGATTTATAAGTATTCAAGCCTTGTATAATGTAAATCTATGGCAATAAATGATATAATTTAACAGAATTCTATGTGTTCTCATCATTTTCACCTTTCTTTTCCTCTCCAAATCATTGCCTTAGTTTTAAGAGACCGTTTTTCCGGTTAAAATTGGATTCCCAAAGTGTCCAGCTCTCGTACTTGCTGCCAAAATAAAAAATTAACTTTTAAATTTTTTTTTCTGTAACCGTCACTCTCGTACCTGTTGGCAAAATCGAGAATTCATTTTTTTCGTCAAAAAATTTTTGCTCGAAAATTTCGCCGATTTCCCAAAAAGTCCTGAAACAGCTGGAAAGCCCTGAAACAGCTGAAAAGTCCTGAAACAACTGGAAAGTCCTGAAACAACTTGGAAGTCCTGAAACTCTTTGGAATTTTGAAAAGTCCTGAAACAGCTGGAAAGTCCTGGAATTTCTTGGGCCCCCTGAATTTTTAGCAAAGTTCGGAGTTTCAGGTGTTTCCAGTTGTTTCAGGGCTTTCCAGCGGTTTCAGGCCTTTCCAGCTGTTTCAGGACGTCCCAGTTGTTTCAGGACTTTCCAGCTGGCTCTGGACTTAGAAAGAGGTTCAGGGAAACCAAGGAGTTTCAGGGAGTCTTATAACTAAGATAATGATTTGGAGAGGAAAAGAAAGGTAAAAAATGATGAGAACACATAGAATTCTTTGTAATTATATCATTTATTGCAATAGATTTACATTATACAATGTTTTAATACGTATATATCATGGCAGAAGTTGTTAACAAGGGTCAGCAGTGGTCAGCAGTGGTCAGCAATGGGTCAGCAGGGGTCAGCAGGGGTCAGCAGAGGCTTGCAGAGGCAAGCAGAGACCAGCAGGGGCAGGCAGTAACAAGTAGTAATCGTTATACGTTGTCGGAAGCATCAGGGATGGTCAGCAGTGGTCAGCGGAGGGCTGCGGAGGCCAGCAGTGGCAAGGAGTGGCAAGCAGAGACCAGCAGGGGCAAGCAGTGGCAAGTTGTAATCGTTATATGTTGTCGGAAGCATCAGCGGTGGTCAGCAATGGTCAGCGGAGGCCAGCAGGGGCCAGCAGAAGCCAGAAGGGGTAAGCAGTAACATGTAGTAATCGTCACACGTTGTCGGAAGCATCGGTGGTGGTCAGCAGTGGTCAGCAGAGGCCAACGGAGGCCAGCGGATGCCAGCAGTGGCAAGGAGTGGCAAGCAGAGACCAGCAAGGGCAAGCAGTGGCAAGTTGTAATCGTTATACGTTGTCGGAAGCATCAGGGGTAGTCAGCAGTGGTCAGCGGAGGCCAGCGGAGGTTGGTAGAAGTCAGTTGTAATTGTTATACGTCGTCAGAAATATAAGCGTAGGTCAGGAGAGGCCAACAGAGGCTGGGAGAGGCTGGCAGTAACCAGTAATAATCGTTATACGTTGTCGGAAGTATCAGGTGTGGTCAGCAGGGGCCAGCAGAGGCAGGCAGAAGCCCGCACATGTTGGCAGAGGTTAGCAGAGGCCAGCAGAAGCCAGCAGAGGCTGCGAGAGGCTGGCAGTAGCCAGCAGTAATGGTTATACGTTGCCAGATGTATCAGAAGTGATATCTGAAATGATAGACATATGTCCGCTCATATATAGGATTAATAAAAATGAATTTATCTTCTTTCAATAATTCAAATATGATCAGGGGGTCATAAAACGTGTATTTCCGTAAGAAAAATTTCACAAAATTTTGTTCATTATAGTATCTTGCTTATGTTCGTCTACATATATAGGTCGGAAAATAAAAAATACCTGGCCAGTCGAGACTTGGAATCCTATGCCGTCGACGTGAGGTCGAATTTCAGTTGTCCAAGAGCGAGAAGGCAAATGAGCCTTCCTCTCTCGACTCCCACGAGACGATCCGAAATTACTTCGGGCAGCTTCGGAGAATCGAGAAAGGGGGCATGTGTCAGTTTGCCTTTGTCGACTCTCCGAAACTCCACGAGCTCACGTACGCGTGATCTGGCATAGTGTGAGTAGTGCACCCGGTGCTCAATCTGGCATCACTGATTCTAACTACTAAAAAGTTATCCAAATCCCATAACTTTTAGCGCTACATTTTAAGCAACTTTCGCTTCCAATAATCGGTTATAACTATTTTATTGCAATGGGAATCTTTATGAAATCGCTCTTTGAATATTGTCAGGAATGTATACTTGATGATGTTAATGCATATGTATGTAAATTAACGTAGGAAACTTAATAATCAATTAAAGCAGATAGTAATACAGTCGTAAATATTGTAACTTCCAATATTTACTAATAACTGTTTAAATACACATGAAATGTTGAATATCTCCAAGAATCTACACCGTAGTATTAAACTCTGAAAGTTCTCGTTAAAAAAAAAGACAAAACGTAAACAGAGACTCTTTAGTTTTATGATTATTATTAACCACCCACCTGTAAAACCACAAAATCGCAATCGATCAAATTTTTCCAAACGCAGAGAAACGAAAGCTAAAAGATTTCTGTTGAATCGTTGTTCGCGTTACATTCTTCATGAACTATGTACACGTGCGAAGATAAAAAATGAAGTATTGATGAAGTTCAACAGCAATGGTGAATTGCTTCGACATTTTAATATATAGTATTCTAACTAAGCCAAATATACTCTAAAAATGCTGTGCTACGATGGAAAACTTAGTTTATGTTGTTTTACTCTGGCTGGCATAATCGCGGTCCTACCGGAAATATTTTTGAGGTTAGAATTCGAAATTCCCAGCACATATTTCAGTAATATCTGGCTAACACACTTTTTTCAATATGGGTTCTTAAATTTTCTACTACTCCTCGCTTTTCGTGGTATTTCTTATCAGGTAATTTACATACACTGGCAATTGGTAGTTAATCATGTTTACTATATTCATCATAATATACATAACGATAATATTTACATTTGTTCCAGGTTGCTGTGAGAGCAATTTTTTTAGGATATGTTTTTGGAATTGGCATTTTAGTATCGCTTGTTGCACCGCCTTCATGGCAAATGTTCGGTGTATACATTACTATACTTGCTACGTTCCATTTCTCCGAGTTCTTGAGCATAGCATGGGTAAATCCATTAACTCTCTCCATCGACAGTTTCATTTTGAATGACACTATAGCTTATGCAGTGGCAGCGGTCTCCAGTTGGATAGAGTTTGTTGTCGAGAGGCAATATTTTCCAACAATGAAAGAGTCTTCATCCCTATCATATTTCGGCTTAATATTGTGCATTTGTGGAGAGTTACTGAGAAAATTAGCAATGTTTACAGCAAAGCACAATTTTAATCACATTGTACAAAGAGAAAGGATGGACAACCACGAACTTGTTACCTATGGGGTCTATAGACTTTGTAGGCATCCCAGTTACGTAGGTTGGTTTTATTGGTCCATAGGAACACAGGTAATAATCTGTTATACCAAGGCACTTTGTGTTAAATAAGGGAAAAAATCAAGTAATTTTTACATTTCTGTTTGTAGCTGGTACTTCAAAATCCATTTTGCTTTTTGGCATATATGGTGGCATCCTGGAAATTCTTCCATGATCGCATTTTAATAGAAGAGATTACTCTACTTAATTTCTTTGGGGAAGATTATGTTGAGTACCAAAAAAATGTGGGTACTGGCCTGCCCTTCATTTCTGGCTATAAAGTCAATTTATAGCAACCAGTTTCCGTTTAAAAAAAAAAAAAATGCAATACTAAGCAATAGAAATCATGTTAATTTCTCAGGTATACGATACAGCAGTGCTTACAGTAACTGCATCCTTAATAATTAGGGAATAGCAACGAAACAAAGGCTTTTTAACAAAATTATATTTATTGTCTCATTTTTCTTCGAAGAATTATTTATATAACAATACGCTACACTTTCATGATAAGGTAGATACTTTCAGTTGATGATTATACATTTTTTTCCTTTTATACTTAAATGTATATACGAAACGTATTTATAAGAATGAATACATATGTTCCGCATTATCGCGTAATGCTGTAGCTAATGCTTGCATCGACATTCAGAAAGCATTCATTCGTTGTCGGATAATAAGGTGCCAAATTCAGAGTAATATAATTACAATTGCATCCTAGTAATTTTCTGTACACAATTATATTTATAATGCACCAATAAAGTTTTAATACGTTTAAAAATATTTTACACGTCATTCACAGTTAGCGTTGCCCCAACGTAATTTACAGAAACATTTCGTGGCCGGTTTCTTATATCTGTGAGTTAATTAAGGTTAAGTGACTTTAAGTGACAAAATAATAAAACGACAGAAGCTTTATTAACACGTGTTATCGGCTACGAAAACCGATCGATGTTCGATTATTATTGTTGTTTGCATCGGGCTTTTAGTCTTCCTTGTTTATTACACGAACCAGAAATGTTGCATCGTCCGTCATACTAATTTAAATAATATTCGTGATGATGTTTCTTTAGCGTGATGTGGCGTCACCTCCCATGCTCGTCACTAGAGGGGTCGCGCTCTCACAAGTGCTCAATCGACCCGGTTGCTATATATACATTCCTTGACCAACTTCCCAATATCCCAGTCGTCTAAGACAGGGCCTACTAGAAAGCTCCTTACTGATGAGTCCACTAGCAGGCCCCGGACGAACCGCCCCCTCCTTCCCCCTTTTCTGCCTCCTACGATTCTCTCGAGTTCCTAACCGCAGCGCCATAGTGAGAATATAACCTCGTCTACTTTGTAATTGACAACGATTCGTTTAGCAGACAAAGATGCATCGATGTAAAATAAATTTCTACATAATTGATTCGCAGCAGTATACATAATATATATAATTGTAATGTTATTTTAATTAATAAATGATAATGATCGGAAAAAATCCATTCAAGCATCCTATACACCCCACCCATTGCCTATTTTTATCATAAAACTATCGATAGTAAATTGTCTTGTTTAAGAAATAGCATACATAGAATGTAAGAAATGACAAGGGTTTTGCAAGACTAATTGTAATTATTTACATACGTTCGTCGCAATGTTTCCATATCTGATACAAATCACATTATAATTAGCAACGCATCTTACTAGCACCGACCTTAACTATACGAATATTTTGTAAGTAACTTTCTTTCAATATCACATAAATGGAATTTGAACTGTTCCAATAAAAAAAGTCTGTATGTTTAGTCAGTACCTTGTTGAAATCAAGTATTGTGTGTTGATTCACTTGTATGCGATAAACGCCGGGTCTTCGAAATATGAATTGCAGTCACGAGCAATCGCCTATTGCTGGTCCAGGCAAACGCTGAAAGAAAATGTTGCTTTCCAAACAGAACTCGAGTAGTTTACTGGCAATGATCGCGTTTTATTTAATGTTCTTTTGTCAAGTCAACATTTTCCAAGGTCTCTTTAATATCTATCGATGTGTATGAAAGATAGGTCGTCGATGAAATGGAGAATTCGTTATCGTAGTAAAGTTATTTGTTTCTTTACTACTTCAAAGACAAGTCGTTGGCTGTTTCGTACTTGGGAACAGATTAAAAATATCTATCGTGTGACTAAAAAATCAGACAATGTCAGCGAGAACTTATAAGTGATTCGATATATTATTCTATCACGTCGCAGTCATCAAAGTGTTTGGTTTCCGAATTGTAGCAGTTGAATCGAAAATCAAGGTAACGTTAAAAAAGAAGCAGATCAAAGGATCGGGCGAAGACGTCCGTGAACAGAATTTTCTACGTAAATTAAAGCGATATTCTTTCTCGCGTTCGGTGAAAACGAAGCTGTATAAAATGTAGTTAGTTCAATTATAAAACGTTGATATGAATACTTTGCTGGAGATACATTCTGTATGTCTATAAATATAAAACTGTTTATATGTATATTATTTGTCTTTTTAATTAAATTAGCGGTTTCAGAAAATTTCTATACCCTTTTGCCACCGTTCAAATATTCCTTTCAAATTAAGATACTAAATAGCCTCCTACTGAAACGTTCCAAGATCCCCTCGCGTCGGAAGTCTGTCGTCCAGGTCGCTGTAAAATAAAAGAAGCAAACGAATGTTACACAAAACCATGAAACTGAAACCCATTTTAATTTAAAGAACCGCGCGGTATAAGTTTGCAAAAGTAAAGTCTAAAGGTCCTTTGAACTTATACCGCCGTGCCCATGACATCCACGTTCACTTTTAACTTTAGAAACGTACCGTAACAATTTACCTTGCTCCAGACGTTAACGAAGCATTAAATAATTTACAAATTTAGTAATTACAAGAACCGTTCGTCGACGCACGGAAAACACGCGTCTCTTTGTTTTAGGCTGTTGGGTACGCTGTGCACGAAGAGACGCGTACTCCCTGGATGCTATTCGATACACAACACTTAACTTAATACAAAATTTATAGCATTTATGGTGTCTATGCATAATACTGTAAAAAACAAGCTCTGCTCCCGCACGTCCATGGCGAAGGCGAGCAGATTTTGTAGTAGGATCAACAACGAGTAATGTTTGATATTATAAGCAGCCAGATTGGCCGCTGGCTTCGGGTGGATAATGTTTACAGGGGGCGGGGGGACAAACGCGTCGAAGATGTCCGTGTCTGCGTCGGTAAATACCAAGGAAGACGGAATCCATCTTGCTCTGAGTAGCGTGAAACATTTACGAACGTTATTTTAATGCGCGAAAAATCTCGCGTTGCAACAATCATAAGTTTTCCTATAACACGGTAGGGAACGGAGGACATTTATTGTTTACCTTGTGCACGGTGAAACGTTTTTCCCTCGTATGGCTTTTTCACCGATGTCGATGGCACCGGAGTCTTGCACTTCCATGGTGTAAATGCAACCGGAGAACCCTTCGTGATATTTCCCGTAGGTCATCGCATAATCGGGCACTCCTCCCAAGAAAACGTTGCCCCTGGTGTTCAAATCGTGCTCGGTACCGTAGCTGGCGCCATTTTCCATGTGTTCGCCATTCAGTTCGATGCTACCGTCGCTACCACGGCGTTTCAGAATTATTCTGTGCCGTTCTCCGTCGTCCACCTTCTGAGCAGTAACGCGAATCTTGACCGGTCCGGTGCCCAAATTGTACTGATATTCCACGTATCTGAGAAAAGTACGCGCGATTGGTAGAAACGTATGGGAATACTTGAAATTTTAATTAGTATTCGTGACAAAAGTTTTTAATGGATCAGCAGATACGGGGTGAACGACCAAAAATTTTAACGGGAGATTCCAGAATCCAAAATAAATCGAAAATCAAGAATACCAATTTGTTGAACGAGGCTTCGTTAAAAAGTTATTAACGTTTAAAGTTACGCCTGTAGAACGGCAATTTGCGAACAGCTGCTAGTGGTTCTCACTCACAAATCTGCATCGATGCATCACTAAGTAGAATTTCTCATGCTGAGTAAGAACCACTATCACGCGGACGAAGCTTTTTCAATGCTTTGTCTCTCCCCCTCCAGTGTTTTGTATTGCTCGATATTTTTTGATACAAAAATATATAATGCACGAATGTCGACCTCTGTATCGCTCTATCTTAGGAATGGTTTATCAAGAAATCAAGAAAACTGGTATAGTAGTGTTCGGATTATCCGAATAACGATAATAGAAGGTGGACTTTTTCGGCGAAAATAAAAACCTTCAAATCATTCTAAAAAAATTATTTTTAGTTGCAGGGGTCAATTACAATCATTTTTGGTGAATAGACATACCCCTGAAATCCTATGCTGTTTCGAGAAAAAAATTCCTAACCGAAAATATAAGGCCTGACCATACATTGATATGTTTCACTGAATTTTCATGCCTATGTTTAAAACGTCATAACTTCTGAATGGATTTAAGGATTTTAATGTTTCAAACGGCAAACGATGCGTATTTTGGTGAAGAATAAGTAGAAATTCTAAAAATATTCGGAAAGTTGTTCCTTAACACCGTAAAGTGAAAAATCTCCCATAAATGTAGTCTAAATTTCAAATGGCCATAACATCTACAATAGTGAACATATCTCATTGAAATTTAGTTGTGAAGTAGAGCTCATGGATACCTACCAAAAAGTATTAGACAACAATTTCGTACAGCGTCAAACAAATTTATTAAAAATCAAAAACGTATTTTTAAGAAAAATCGACAGGAGGTAGGTACCTCAATTTTTCGGCGAAAAAAAAAATTTCAAATCATTCTGGAAAAATTATTTTCAGTTGCAGGGGTCAATTACAATCATTTTTGGTCATTACGCATACCACCGAAATCCTACGCACTTTCGAGACAAAAATTCATAACCGAAAATATAATGTCTGACAATACATTGACATGTTTCACTGAAATTTCATGCGTATGTTTGAAACGCCATAACTCCGGAACGGATTGGAGAATTTTAATGTTTCAAAAAGCAAACAACGCGTATTTTGACAAAGAATAAATAGAAATTCGAAGAATATTCGGAAAGTTGTTCCTCGACACCGTAAAGTGAGAAAACTCCCATAAAAGTGGTCCACTTTTCAAACGGTCATATCTCCTAAAATAGTGAGTATATTTCAATGAAACATTTTTCTAAAGTAGAGCATATGGGGACCTACAAAAAAGTATTAGACAACTTTTTTGTAGAGCATCAAACAAAATTGCTAAAAATCATAAACAATTTTTTAAGAAAAATCGACAAGAGGTAGGTGCCTAAATTTTTCGACGAAAACAAAATATTTCAAATTATTCTAAAAAAATTATTTTTAGTTGCAGGGGCTAATTATAATCATTTTTGGTGAATAGACATACCCCCGAATTCCTACGCACTTTCGAAAAAAAAATTGTGCACCGCAAATATAATGTGTGGCCAGCGATCTGTGATTATATTCCTCGTTTTTATTACTTCATATGTAAATGTAGTCCAATTATCCGGCATATAAAATCAAGTCACGAATAGTAACATTCAGAAATATGCATAATTTAGCAATTGTCGGTTATAGTTACCCATCAACGACTCCAAGGGCCATGTAATGATCGGGATTCAGATCATTTGGCGATTGTCCGTGCCACATGATCAGTCCTCTAGTTTTGTTAGTGGAGATCTCAAAGCCTATGAGCTCACGTTCCTCGTTATGATTAATTACAGATCTGTCCAATTCCAACCAACCGTCTCCCGTGAACGCGACATCGTATGTTATCTCTGCCGCTGCAAATCAACAAGAACGTTAAAACGAAGTTGGTATACGCAATTTCGATCATTAATAGCGTCGTTTTCTAATAGAGACGTTTCTAATAGCTACATTTTTCACAGTTCTGTCCATTGTAACCGAGTCGGCAGTCGCACTTGTAGGATCCATGGAGATCCGTGCATGACCCCTCGTTTTTGCAGGGAAGGAGGAGTTCGCATTGTTTTAGGATATTTTCGCAATTTCTGCCCACGTATCCGTATTCACAGGTACAGGAGTAGTCGTATGAGTCTGTGCTCTGACACATGCCATGGACACATGGATTCGATGTGCAGGGATTGTAGGGCGTTGTTGTGGACGGCTGTGTAGTGACCAAAGTAGCCAGTTTCGTTTGATTTGGGTGTAAAACATTGCAGTCGTCAATGTTGGCGGAATCTATCGCCGATTTTAGGATGTCGACGGACATTGAAGAGACTCCAAGCTAAAAGTATAATGGGGGGTACGTTAACAAGAAAACTCGTGCATCATCAGTACAGTAGTCGCCTCACTTGAAGTCTCAAGAGAAGTCAGACTGCCCATCTATCCATCTTGCTCCCTTGCTCTCGGGCAGTCCACATGTGTGTATAACTGCTGCGACGAATAACGAGCAAGAGATCAATGTATACGTGGGAATACGTGTATACGCGGGACTTCAAGTGAGGCGACTACTATGCTATAACGTAGCATAAGATTACAAAATAGACCATAAAAGCTTGCAGAGAACTCACATCACTGATGCAACCACGGAAAGCACGATCGACGCCAGCATGTTTATTCACTGTGATTCTTCTGCGATCAACACCGCCGATGTATAGTGGTGTGTAAAGTGTCATGGTGCGTGCAGTACCTGGAGACTTGCCTCCGACGGTGGGTTCTCCGTTTACGGTCAGATTCCCTTCTTTAAAGTCTCTGTTTATCGACACGTGTGTCCACACGCCAGGTTGAAGAACGTGAGACGACCTAATGATCGCCAGGCCGGAACCAATGTCGTAACGGAACTCGACGTGTCTGTTCTTGACGACAAGCGCCACGAAATCCCCGAGTCCTTCGTCGCTTTGGGAACAGTACATCAGGATGCCGTCCTTATTGTCCAGAGGGTTGAAGTTTAGCGCCACTTTCAACCTACGAGGAAATTGCTAAATTGAAGCAATAATTTTACTTCAACGCGCAACGAAGGATGAAAGGAAAAATCCATTTCTTGTTAGCAGGAGCAAGAAAATATTGGTTATAGAGATAATGCGTATAGGTATATTATTTATATCTTGGGACTCACCTTTTTTTTAATTTTGCTTTCAACTATTTTGTAAGTAAAAAACAACGTTCAGGTGAACAGCCATAAAAATAAATGTTCGACATAGCAACGGTTCCTGTTAAAACAATTTTTATTTGCATTTGAAGATATATTTATACTTATAACATCGCTTGAAGCCTGTCAAATACATTAAAGGTCTTTCTGGACCTGGAACACACTGTTGGCACGTACACACAGGTTCTTACAGGTAAGTACAAACATTTTACACGTGCCCTGGTCTGTGTATGTGTTTAGTAGTGAGCTAATTAATGCCTTAGTTTTAATAATAATTAAAATGACTAACATAATGCGTTAAATGTATTATTTAAAAAGCTGTACAAAAAAAAAAGACCCTGCGGTCTTGGAAGCATAAAATAAACAGTTTCCTCTCATGAAAGATAGCTCTATTAAAAGCAATCCCAAATTCTTCCGCGAGCTCGACAATTCTAGAAGAAGAGCGTCTATCAAGATATTGACACTTTATGGGATTGAAATATAATAAGTATATCGACTGGATAATCTAATGTTACAGCACCATGAGGTTCATTCCGAGGAATTACTCACTATACAGGCTCGTTGCAAATGCCTAACATCCACATAATCTACGACACGTACGAGGCGGAAACAAAAAGATCTTTTAATGTAAATAAAATTCTCATAAAAAATATATATATATATAATATATAATATATGCATATAATGCTGACTGACAACTATAAATAGGCAGTTACACAAAAAATTGATTTGTTTCTACAATTATTACATTCATCAAGTATCAGAATGACTTCTTTTTCTATATGTGCATTGATTTGGTGAAGGGACTAATGTTTCGTGTGGTGCAGATTATTGTGGTGATGTGGCCTTGATCGTGGCTTTCTAACTTGTGCGTTGCGCGATCGTAATCGACTATGTGTAGTGCTCATTCTCGCCCTGAAAACAATTATCTCTATTAGGACCGGGATACCATTCCACCGGGTCTACACGGGTTAGTGCCCGAACTCGAGATCAAACGTTAAAACTTGAGGATCTTTTAAGGAGACTTTGTGTTAATTGTGTCATCCACCGAACGCTACTACAACACACTCAGAATGTTATTTAATAGGGAACTGTAACGTGAAATTTTTTAATCGTCTATCGGTAAAATAATATATAATAAGGCACGAAAATTTTAAACTAAACAAATCTATTAATACTTTTTGCCGATAAACTACTGAATTGTATGGTAATCATGCACGTGCATCGTTCCAAATGCTCACCGTCGAAGGGCTTTCGGGGTATCATGAGCGATGAAAGACTTATCGTCGTGGAAAGCTGGCTCGTAGATTTTCATCGAGTTCTCGCATCGAGGGCCCGTTTTTCCGTACGGGCAGTAACACTCGAAGCCCGTTTCTTTGTCTACGCAATTGCCTTCTCCGCAAGCGCCTACCGTAAATCAATTCATCAGTAACGCACGATCTCTTTCATACTTCTAGATCAGAGTATCCTCTTAATCGACTGCACTTGTTACCTGGAAAGCAGGACTGGCCGAGGTAGTCGCAGTATTTCCCGCTATAGCCAGCTCGACATAGACACGTGTATCCAGTTTTGGTAGCAGCTTCTTGGCAGACTCCGCCGTTGTTGCATGGATTCTCAGCGCACGTTTCGCAGTTCGTGATCCCGATGCTGTTTGCCTGGTTGCCGTTCAAGTCTATCTCCTTGTTCCCGATAACTAATCTACTGATACAGCCGACAAAACCAGTGGTGATCTCCGCGTGTTTGTTGATTATATTGTAATTAGGAACGCCGCCCACGAACAGCAACTTCTTCAAATCCAATCCCTGCCTTCTGCCAGAGGCTACGCCTTTGTATGGACCGTCTCCGTCGACCAGCATCGTTCCTTCCTTTCTATTGCGTTGGAGTTTGATCGTGTGCCATTCGCTCAGGGACACGGGCTCGTCCGCGTGAATGACGGTTGGTCCAGAGCCAAGATCGAAACTGTAATAAAGGCATATTAATGCGTGGACAGGACTGTCTCTGGTTAGGAATGGAAACATTTCGATGGCAAAACGTTTACCTAAATTGCGGATATCCTCGCACCAGTGACAGCATGATGAAGTCACCGTCTCCGCTGTTCGACTCGTCGTTGTACAAAATAATACCGTCGTAGCTTTCAGGCTTAAAGGACACTTCGATGTTGAACTTCAAGTAGGAATCTGGCAATGGTGGCAGGGCAATAAAACTCTCCGGCGCCTGGCTGAAGTACGGAACCACCCCTGTCACGACCAGCACAGTCGGTATTTCGATGCTTTCGAGATCGTTGTTCACGGTGCAGATGTACGTTCCTGCATCTTCGGCCTTTACGTTAGTCAGATTCAATTTGCTCTGAAAGAATAACGACGAGGGTTGAAGCAACGCAAAGTTTCCGGAAGACAGTGAAATCTTCGGATATTGTTAAAAATCGAAATTTTTTTTATCTCTTCTCAATGTTTGGAATTTTAAGAATGACCTAAAATATTAAAATTCGAGAAAATGATAAAGTTATGTGTTTTTAGATTTTTTCTTCAAAGTTCCACCATTTTATAATAAATAATTATTTTCAAAAATCTGTCTTATAGTTTAAGAAAATTGCATAATTTCTTTATTCACAACTAACAAATTTTTGGATATTATGGCTATAATAATTAATATTTTTACAAGAAGTAGCTCAAGAAATGTACTTTCGAAAACATTGAGCGTTTATCAGAAAAAGTTTCATAGATATGCCCAAAAAATTCTTGAAAATTGCCTTTATTTTCAACCGTCACTCATCTTAGAAATTTTACCTCAAAAGTGTCGTGTGGTAGAACACCACCAAGTTTGCTCCATTGGAATTTAAGCGGCGGATCGAGATTAGGGCGACAGTTCATCTCGACGCTGGATCCGTAAGGCGCGTATTTGGTTTCAATTGCTGGTTCGTCGTTGTGTCCACCTAAGGAAGCAGCGCGAACAATTAAGAATTTCATCTTTCCGCAAGCTAGTTTTTATATGTACTCACATCGAGCGCAGTTTTGTAAGCGTAAATAAAACGAACATCGAATTAGTTAGTATTGGTTCCCCAGTTAGATGGTGGATACAAGACAAATCGAAATGGAAAATTTTACCGTGGACGACGAGATTGAAGTCCTGTTTGAAAATGCCTTCCGGCGTCTCTGCTGTGCACGTGTAGTATCCGCTGTTGTCGACGGTGACGTCGGTCAGTCTTAAACTGTTATCGTGCCGTTGTGAATTCGCTGGCAAACTGGGATGATTTGCTCTGGACCAGTGGTAACGAGGAGTGTGGGTGCCGGAATAGTCGCAACGGATAGTGATGGTATCTCCGATGTTGACCGGATCTTGAGACACTTCGACGCTGATCCTGGGTACGTTGGTAGCTAAAACGAAGACGCTTACGTCGGCGAAGGTGCAAGAATTAGCTTAGAAACGAACAGGTGAAAACCTAACTCCATTGTACTGCGTTCTACGAGATTAGTTTCTAGATTTGTCTCATAACTATTGGCCAAAAGTTTGCTGGGCAGACCAACACTGATGACGTTAAGTGAATGGTTGAACAAAGAGATGATGTGCAGACACTGATACAGGAAGTATATACGTGTAAGCTGCTTGGAGCGACGCAACACAGAGTATGCTACTTCTATCGTATTAGCAACAATTATTGAGCGATCGTTGTGCACGAAGAATTTTAGTCGGAACAAGGTGGACGTGTAAGCGGAAAACTTGAACAAAAATGACGCTGATTAACAGGGAGAAACGTTAATCCCAAAAGACGTCACAGGAGCACATAATATCTGAAAACAAACCACGTCGTTGCTGAAGATAATGGCTTTTCAGGACGTCGTAGTAGTAGTCACCGCTATCGTTGTAGTACTGAATATCGTAGCAAGAGTAATCCAAGAGTATGCATCCTCGATCGCCGCATATGCACTTTTTTTGCCCGCATTGCGTTTGGTTCGCTCGCATGCAATCCGGGGGCAAATTAACTACTAAATAATAACGCGACCACTATAAGTACACGTTCATTTTTAAGAGCTCGACTGATCGATGATGATCGCACGTACGAGTATTGTTAGCAGTGAGTTATGTTGGTGAAGTTACTGGATCGAGAACCGCGAAGGTGTTTTTAGTGTCGAACCGCGCGAAACATGACCAGTTACTGAATCGAAAACCGTAAAGATGGTTCGAAGTCAAATGATGTTGTGCAAACTCCTAATCGTGGTAAGTTTGATTCTCGATGGATTCCTACGTTTTGGCTTCAGCGTTGAAATTTTTTTCTTTTTACTTTTATCGTTTAATCTGATTTGGGGGGCTGCGAATGTAAAATGCATAAACGTGTACAGCGAAAGAAACGTTTCAAACTGCGATAAGGTGAATTCGAACTGAAAGAACAATGAAGAACAAGGCATCGAACCGTGGAAGCGTGCTTGTCGAACTTACGGGAGACATTCAGATTTATATAATCGCTGGACACTCCGTGAGGAGTTTGGATCTGGCAAATGTATCTTCCGCTGTCCTCGGGCCTGGCGTGTGGCAGCTCCAGGTAATCCTTTCCTTTCCTGACGTTCGAAGGCAATGGTTGCCCCTCCCTGGACCAGTGTATCTCCGCCTGTACTCGCGCGATGCATCGCAAATGTACAGGGTTACCAACATAAGCGACCACGTCCTTCTGAGCTGCTTGAACGCGCGTGCCCTCGTAGGAGTTTTCTAAAAGAAGGATACTCATCCCGTGAAGTTACTACAAAACTGAACTGAGAGTTCCTACACAAGTTGGATCACTCATAAAGTACATTGCATATCATCGATACCTTATAAATTCACATTTGGATTGCATCCTAAACCTACCTAAACCTACCACGACCGGTCAAATGACCGTTTTTTAAATTTCGTTTAGAGTTTCTAACATAGAATGCTATTTTAGCGCTTCTTAACTTCACGATCTTTCTTGTAGTATACGTACAATGAATTTTTCAATATTCCCTGCTATTCTTCTCGTTTGTCTTCTGATTTATATTTTGGTTAGTTTCCGATATAAATAGGAAATATATAGCAAAACTGAAGAGAATCTTCAGTTTCCACTGTCTCAGACAGTATAACAACTTTACACACACGCAGTTCCAACACTACTAGTGTTTTATTAATAATTGAGCTACTGTTAGAAACGGTAAAGCTTCCCCTTTGAAGATTGTTGAAGAAGTTATGCGACATAAAAGAGAAAGATATCTTACGAATAAACTTCAAAACACAACTTTCTCTATAATGTAAAAATTAGAAGTGCGTTGCTTTGTAAAAGAGAAAAAGAAAGACTAGTCATTTGACCAGTTATGGTAGGTTTACTGTTAATACTATGGACATGAAGCCCCCAAAGTTAGAACAAGGCTCAAACTTGCACGCACCGTTCACTAGAACCTCAGCCACAGCGTCGGCGGTTCCTGCAGCGTTCATCGCCTTGCAGACGTATTTCCCAGCGTCGTCGTAAGTGATTCCATGGAACTGTAATACGCTACTATTATGGGGAACACCATGTGGAAGACTACGTCCTATGGCTGCCCACTCGATGGTCATCGGTTCGTCTCCAGTTGCGCTGCAAACGATCGAGGGATTTTCACCGAGACCAACCGTCTGTCGAGGCGGATTCAACACGATTCTGGGCGGCGCTGAAAGGTGTAAATTATTCGCGTGAAGAATATTTAGTCAGGGGCGTCTAATACATAAGCGATCAAAACATTTTCTTTACATTGCACTATGAGAAGAGACTTTGCTTTGAACAGGATATTTCCAGTTTGATCCATGCCCAGACAAATGTACTCCCCAGCGGCGCTCTTATCCACGCCAGGAATGATGAGTAGACCATTGTGAACCGTGTGACCATGTGGCATGCGACGATGGTCGCTCCTCCTCCAATCCACGCGAATATCGTTACCATTCGACGCGTACACTCGACAGCGCATCTCCACTCTGCCACCAATGGGTATCTTGGATTCATCCACCGGGATCAAGGCTTCTCCGTTAGGATCACGCTGTGACAGCGATTCAAAACGTTTAACGTTATCTTATCGACTTTTAACTTAATTTCTTGATGTTAAGTTTCACCATCAGGAGGCTACTCACTGACCATCAAGTCTTATATATTAAAATCAACACATTTTTGCATTCACGAGGTATTCATAAAACAAATCTATTCTTTTTCGTGGCCATTCCTTGTACGAATAAATTTAAATAAAATTAAGTAGTATACGTTTGACAAATTACTTGGAATAAAATCGTACGTCAAGGGGTTAACTAAGCTTCTGTTGTTATTGCATTATGGATAACTGTACATACGCGATTATCGGGATCGGGATAGCGGTCCGGATGCTCAGGGGGTCTGTGGCATGGCACGTCTCCTCTGCAGGGCGGGTAAACCTCGTTATCGTCGTCTATGCGAATATGAACCCGTTCTTCGACCATTCCTGCAGTGTTCATCGCGTGGCAAGTGTACGAGCCTTCGTCGTCGTCGGAGATAGAGGCTATTTCGTAAACGGCGCTGAGAGGAGTATCCTTGGCCATTTTAAACTCCGGGCTACCATTGAGACGATAATAACGATCGTTGGTTAAAAAGATTTTGGGAAAACCGTTTGTTGCATCGGTGAATTGTATTGGCTTGGCAACTATGTATTTGTTTCACTAATAGGTGGCTTTAATTGAATTTTTACGTATTTGTATGTATTCGAAACGTCAAATCCATATTGTTGTCTGATAATTAGTACTTTGATTGTCATTCAGAAAAAACATTGTATCGATCGATTGTGCAGTTTTTCTTTCGTTGTATTACTTTAGCAAAGGAAATGCAATTCAAGAAAAGCGACCAGAATTGGTAAATCGTAAAGGTATTGTGTTCCACTATGACAATACAAGGCTACACACATCTTTGGTCAATCGACAAAAATTATTGGAGCTTGTTTAGGATGTGTTGTCACATCAGACCAGATTATCATTTGTTTCGTTCTTTGCAAAACTTCTTCAATAATAAACATTTCAATAATGACGATATCAAATCACACTTGGTTCAGTTTTTTGCCGATAAAAACCAGAACTTTTCGTGGAATTATGATATTGCCTGAAAGATGTCAATAGGTCATTGTTAAAAATTTACAATACGTTACAAAATAAAGTTGTTTCGTTCCACGTAAAAATTCACTTTTATCTTATTAAAAAAATTCGCAATTAGTTGTCAAACCAATATTTCACGATAGGATTACGCCAATTATCGAAACACGACTTACTAAGGCATCATTCCGTTCACGTGTCTAACCCATTCGACCTTGGGAGTAGGGGTGCCAGTCGCGCTGCAAACCAGTCGCACCATCTCGCCGCGTTTAACGTTCAGCATTCCAGACGAGGGCGAAATAGTGATCTCAGGCATGGACTGCACCTCTATGTAAGTTGCTGCCGACGTGGAGCCAACCGAATTCGCCGCGGAACAGACGTACGCTCCATTGTCGGCGTTCGTAATGTTCGTGAATCTAAGAACACCGCCGGAAAGCTGCTTAACGTTGGAAAGGAACGGTCTGCCATCCTGACGAGACCAGTGCAGCTGTGGTGTTGGTGTTCCAGCTATTGCTCGGCAATGCAAATCGGCCGATCCACCCAGAATTACCGTCTGCGGGTCTTTCGGATACAATTCCACCAGCGGAACCTCGCGAGCTACTCAAAGAATCAAACGGTCGTTCAATCTAGCCTTACTGTCTACGAGGGTCGTCTGAAAAGCTTTGAGCCTAACATAGAAACAAGTATTTCTCCCGTTAAATATAGCTTTATTTTTCAACGTAGTCTCCTCTTAAGTCGATACACTTTTCCCAGTGATGCTGTAACCCTTTTAACCCTTTCAAATAGGGTGTCTTACCCTGCAAAGTAGGTATTTACGTTTGCGATTACTTCCTTGTTCGATGGAAGTCTCTGTCCTCTAAGCGATATTTTAAGTTTAGGGAGGAGGAAAATGTCGCTGGGAGCCAGATCTGGTGAACTCGGTGGGTGGGAACCGCCAAAGTGGGAGCTGGTTTATCTTTACAAAAATACTGACATCGACTGACACAAATGACTCCCAAACAACAACTGAGCGTCAAAGATTGCTGAAATTTTCACAGGTACTTGTCAAAGCATATACCGCTGTACTACCAGGATGAGTTAGCCTTCGTGTCGAGGCTCGAAACTTTTCAGACGACCCTCGTAGATCGGAGAATTTTATGTTCACTCACGTTCAACTTCGATGATGCCGCTAGCCTCGTGGCTACCACTCGGTCCGGTTACGCGACAGATGTAGACACCACGATCGGAAATCTGGATGTTAGGAATCCTCAGAGTGTCGCCTATGTGTTCTGCGTTGGGGTTCAGCTGTTGCAGGTACTTGTTCCATGTAATTTGCGCTTCCGATTCTCCGTTCACGAAGCATCGTATTTCCGCTGTGGTACCTTGCGGAACGGTTTGCATATCGGGCATCACTTTTACGGAGGGCGCTGGTCTGCGAGGCATCACGATTATGTTGATGAAGCTGCTCGTTTCCGTTCCGTAGTAACTGGTGGCCGTGCACACGTAAATGCCTGAATCGTGCTGAGTTGGATGCATGATGGTGAGCACACCGTCGATCTGAGTGGACGTGGTGGGCATAGGCAAGTACCCGTTCCTGGTCCACGTGACGTTGGCAGACTGAGACGGGGTGCACGTTATCCTAATCACATCTCCGACCGAGCCGGTCCATTCTGGCGGAGTTATGACGGGCGCTATATCGGTTGGCGGTGACTTGTTGGGATTATCTGTCGATGAAACGTCGATTCGAAGAGTCTAGAGAGATTATATTTTACGAGGGACGATCTTCAATCCGGAATTACAGTTTTAAAACGCCGTATTTGACACCATTAATATCTATCATTGAACGAAACATTATCAAAAAGTAAGCGTCAGGCCTCGGGACCTCTTAAAAGTGGGTCTGAAAGGCCCAGTTATGTCTGAACGTCAGAAAATCAGTGTCGCGAAAAACACAAACTCGAAGTAAGTATAATTTAAATTAATCATTTGTGATGTGAAAGTTTGTGTGTGATGAAAAAAAGTTGTGTCTCTATGTAAGTATTTGAGCGTTAATTTCCGACTTGGGGATCGTTTTTGTTAGTCTAGTGATTTTATTAACCGTTGCGTACCTTTCACGTAAAGAACAACCGTCTTTTCATCTATGCCTACGTTATTCCTGGCGACGCACTTGTACTCGGCTTCGTCGTTCTTCGACACCGCTCGAAGCGTCCAGACTCCGTTATCGATGGTCACTTCCGGATTCATGGGACCGTGGACCCGAATCCAGTCAATTTGAGGCGACGGATACCCGCCTGCCTCGCAACGGAATTCTGCGAACTCCCCTTCAATTACTTGCAAAGATGTCGGCATAACGGTGGCTCTTGGCGCGGTTGGCTGTGCACCTTTGAAGAAACGTGGATCATTATTGTTAGTTTCACACCCAAAACGTAGGAAACGCGACTGTTTCTAGAACTAAATACGCGTGTCACATCTACCTGGGATCTCTAATAAGCTTTTCGGAAACGCTGCGTCCGTGAAAAATAACGCAATAATTTAATACACGGAGCACTCGAGGGGCTCATTAATTTATCAAATACGAGTTAGCTTACCTCCAACGGTAAGGGTGACATTTTTCAATGCAACGTGTACGCCATCGCTAACTTGGCAAACGTAGATACCACTGTCCGATACTATCACGTCTCGAATGATTAGTAAACCACGGTTGTCGTCCACGCTTCGTTCAGGGGGCAAGTAGCCACCTTCTTTCTCCCATCTAACGTGCACGGATCCCTGTCACAAAATGAGTTTAGCCGGTATACTTAGCGATATACTTCGTTTTCACTTACATTGTCCACAGCCCTTCCAGAACAGTGGTATCTAACTGTGCTTCCCGTTTCAACGATTTGGATCTCTGGCCCCTTGATGTACACTATAATCTTTGGTGGATGTACGTTGGGTGGCAGGGGGGTCGTCTCTACGGGATATCCTGCAAAAGCGCCACGATAATTTTAAAATACGATGCCTCGAGACACCAGACTTGGATCACACATAAACATAAAATGGAAACATGGAAGAGAAAAAGAATTTTATGAAAGAAGTCTTGTTCGATTCTTTTGACAAGGAGACATCGTGTTTGATGAACGAAAAGTCCTACACCAGCGTCGATATCACATAACCATTAAGCTTCTAAAACCCCACACGAATGATGGAAGCTCTATCATGCTCGTAATGAGAACCTTACCGAACAGATGTTGCTATGGGATTACAACAAACACCAGACGTGTCAGAGGGATGTCTGATGAGGACATTAAGTCGAGATATGTGAATGAAAATAACAACCACGACGCCCTCGTCTCCCAGGGACGGACAAAAATGAAGTATTCGTCTGATGTGGTCCGTCAAACCTGGTGTAACCGACGTCACAACTTTGATCAGGTCTTTGCCGTTTGGGTCCTGGATGTAGCACTCCACGTTGCAGGGATCTTCCTGCACGTAAACGTGCCAGGTACGCGAGGCTCCTGTTTTGCTCCTCACGATGGGGTTAGGCGTGGCACTGGATGCGGTTAAGGGCGAGTCACGAAACGGCGATAGTTTAAAATAGATATAGAATGGATCCGTGGACTCGTAACTGCACGTAAACAGTGTCCACGTATGTGGCTTTACTTCGCCCGTCATTGGCGTTAGACTTACCATCAGTTCACCTAACTCATACAACGTTCGAAACATTTTATTTGGATATTAATTATTGAAACCTGGGAACTAGAAAGTTTGCACGAGTGAATATACGTTACACCATCTTCGGATTATACGGGCACAACTTTATACATGCATTTAATATGTATTAAGGGGGTCTTCTACCGCCCAAAAATTCGATTTTTTTTGTGTATTTTCTTAGAGGATATAGGTTTAGAAATATATGTGCAAAAGCACTTCTGTTCAGATACGTTTTTCTCAAAACTGTATTTTTTGAATTAGCTTCCATGGTGGCGTGTACCTTCAAAATCATTATTCTTTCTATTTTTTTTTAGCTAAAATTAAAAATAAGACAAAAATCGATATTTCAACTTCAAAATGCTGCCATTTTTTTAATTATCATTATATTTCATTTTTTTGACTTAGACAAACAGGCTGGAATCATGGAAGCCATTAAACACTTTTACGAGGCTCTGTACTGCCACTAATTTTGACTGTTTCACGATGTAAAAAATTTGTGAATATTTCTTTATAAAAAAATACTAAAAAGAACATAAAAAAACGCGTTTTACAATAGAAGACCCCCTTAAGATAATCGTTTGAAGATTTATTTGCATTTACCAATTTGCTAGTTCGTTGATCCGAAGAAGGGTTAATAAAATGTTAAATTTTGCTCGAGATAAACGTACCGGTATCTTGGCAATATTGGCCAGTGTATCCCGACTGGCAATGGCATTTTACTTGACCGGTTCTGGAAACGTCACAGCTTTCTTCGTTGTTGTTGCAAGGACACGGAGTGCAGGATCCCAGGTAACTAACAGATCGATTGCTGATGTCTCTGTAATAGCCTCGAGCACAGGACTCGCAGGACGTTCCTACGTAGCTGGGCGAACAGCGGCAAACTTCTACTTGGACCGCTCGTTTGTGTCCAGTTACATGATCTACGGCCGTATCGAGGCTGATGTCACTAATATAAGTGGCCGTCATTCTTTCGCTGTGAGAAGCACGAACTAGGATCGCTTCGAGATTTGAGAGTACGGTCATAAGGTCGATGCGAGAGGCTACGCGGAGCCCTTCCATGCTCAGACGTTTCCATTCCGATTCCCTCAGTGGCACCGAGTATGTCTAAATAAAATAAAAAATAGCTTTTCTTAGACTCGTGGGCGAGACAGGGACATTCTTATCGTTCTTCCCGGTACGTACTAATGGTACATCGGGTTGGATTTCCGTAGGGTTTGTCCAGAACAGAGTGATTCCGTTTCCAATCAGAATTATGTCTTGGTCCTTAAAGCTTTGAGCACCAGGATACGCGGTGATGTGCTGGGTCAACGTTAGATTGCCACCGTAGCTTTTGACCTTGTTACCGGTGAACACAGATGGCAGTGACCAGAACAAACTGCGACCTCGACTGTCCGGATAGCGGTAGCCGATCTCGTTCATAGCGATGTTCAATTCGAAGACGTCGTCGTCGATTACCTCTTGTCTCGTGCTGCGAATCAGAATTATCCAAACGGTCTACAGATTCCGGTTCCATGGAATCGGAACACGGATACTTACGCATCGGTGAGAGTGAATCCGTGGTGGGTGTCGTAGACCCAGATCGGTATTTGTTGCACGTAAAGCGAGCTCTCGTGGCATTGATCGGTTACGCCACTGCAATAGCACTCGTTGCATCCATCAGGGTTCTCCGCGGACAGTCCAAACGTGGACGGTCGGCATCGGTTGCACTCAGGACCCTCCACGTTTCGTTTGCATTCGCATCGTCCACCGATGCACGCGTCGCTGTACGATCCGGCCACGTTACAATTGCACGTGCTCATATTTCTGTACACGCAATCGTTCGGGGTTCCCCGGGTCGCGTCGCCCTCGTATCCTGGCTCACAGACTTCGCAGGAGTCTCCGGTAGTATGGTGTTCACAGCGCTAGAAACAATAGTGATTGTTACATATTAAGTAAAGTCTTGAAATAAACGTGAAAACAATTTCTTTTTCCCCAACCGAATTATTTCTAGACCAACCTCGCACGTTCCAGTGTCGGGATTGCATTGTCTGGAGTGTCCGTTGCAGTTGCATGATTCGCAGACACCCAGATAGAGGCCTTCGTTGGTTCTAGTGTATCCAATGTCGCAATCCTCGCAGGATAGTCCTTTGTAACCGACCGGGCAGCTGCATTCCTCCACCTCGACTGCACGGTTTCTTCCCGTGTTGTGCTTCTCAGCCGTGTCCAGAGACGCTAAGGACAATCTAACGGGACGAGAATTAAAATCGTCTTTTTACTCGTTGAGATATCGTTGAGAATGCAGCGACCAGAACTTACGCGGCTTCGTCGGTATGAGTCGTGTAGGTGGCTTTGATTCTGATCGCGCGTATATCGGCCAAAGCCATTAGCATATGTTCCCTGTCGGCTTGCGTTCCGTCGTTGCGCTGCCAATATTGCTCCAACAAAGGAACCGTGAAGTTTTGCAGCGTGTTCGAGTCCGGAGATTTACCAGAGAAGTACAACAAATTAATATCGTTGGCCTGCGTGACAAACAATCAGTTTCGGATGGTGTAACTTCACGAGAAGTAATTCCTAGCGGCTTGATCTACTTACACTGATCAATTCAACGTCGGCAGCATTGTTTCTCGAACTGTGACCACCGGGTGATGGAACGTATCGAATCGTATACTGAAGATTTCCACCATAAGAGGTGACCTGATCGCCCAGGAAGATGCTGGGCAGCTGCCAGTAGTAAATATCGTTGGTTCCACGGCTCGGGAAGTCATTGTAAATGATTTCGCGATTTATCGTATCTACATGAATGCCGTCCACGATAGGCGGTGCATCCGGGGTCTTCGACTCGATGAGGGAAAAGTCTCGAACGGAATTGGTGAAGGAGACTCGGATCTGTGAAACAGTGTGATTTAAAAGAACCGGATAATCACGGATAGTAATTGTACTCACGTCGTTTCTGTACCAGTTAGACGACACGCATTGGTTGGTGATACCCATGCAGAAGCAGCTGATGCAGCCGAATTGGTTTTTCGAAGCCAGATTAAATGTGTTTGCCTTACATTGGTTGCAAGTGAGGCCCGTCGCGTATTGCTGAAAACCAAATCGAGGCACAACGTTTACGAGAAATCTTTTTCTATGTAACGCAGTTACGGCAAGGAGCACAACTGAACCAATAACCACAAATTTTGTAAAAAATTATTATTTATTGCTAAGAATGTAAGTGAATATAAAAAAAATAAACATTATAGTTATTTTTATCACAGTTAGAAGTAACATAAGACATTTTTTTAGTAGTTACTGTCTTCTCGTTTGGTAATGAAAACCAGAGTACATCGACTCAGTTTTGTACCACATCCAACGTCTCAAAACAGTCTAACAACGCGTATTGAAAATACTAATACTTTAGACGCGCGCAGTTCCGAAACTATTAGTGTTTTATGCATTATTAAGCCATCGTTGGAAGCGGTAAACCTTCCCCTTTAAAATGCCTTTTGAATTATGTCGATCCGACTTTCCGTTTTCGAGATATTGTAATTTATGTAAAGGGGTAATTTTTCTTAATTCGACTATCGCTGTCTCCGTCTGACGCGTCGCGCCGGACCTCTCTTTCTCGCACGTGACCGCGACCGTTTGGCCCAGTGACCTAGTTTCGACGAGCACGTGCGGTCAACGACCTTGTCAAGACCGTAGCGAAAAAGTAAACAAACGCTTCGGACCCTTTTATCTCCGGAACTAGCCACCGCATCGACTTGAAACTAAAATCGCTATATCTCCGGAACTAATAAAGCTATCGACTTGTTCGAACGCTCATTTTAAAGGGCATTTCATCCTCTATCCAATGACTATACCAGCTACTATAATTTTTGCTATCTTCTATATTTATTTTGAAATTTACTTTGACGCTATATACCTACAAATTTCTTATGTTACTTTTAACCGTGATAAAGACAACTATAATGTTTGTTTTATAATATTCTTCTATATTCTTAGCAATAAATAGCAGTTATGCTCCTCACTGCATATCGTGGATCGCACTTACTTTTTGGCAGGTGGGGACATTCCCAAGTAAACGATAGCGTTAACGACATCAAATATATTATATAATCTTATTTACTACGAAGACGGATTAGATACCAAGTACGGGAGTTTGGTTTTTACGTTTGTATTTGAGGTTTAGTACCTTGCATCGACATTGTCCGGTATTAGGATCCGCGATCACGCTGTGACTACCATCGGGATCGCATTGCCCAGCACGAACGCACATGTTTCCAGGTATGAGAGGATTGCCTGTATATCCGATGTCGCACTGTTCGCATCTACGTCCAACGTATCCGGGTGGACAGTCGCAGGTCGGTTGTCCGTCCGAGCCGAGGTGACAAGTACGAGCAAATCTGTTCGAAGACAACCATGAAAGTACGGCGAGAAGTTTGAAATGCTACTACGATGGTTCGTTGCGAGACAATGGTCGACATCTTACTGGTTAGACGGGTTGGTGAGTGGACAGGGGCAAACTTGACAGGGAATGTTCCTCATGGGATCACCGTAATACCCTGGTGGGCAAGGTTGTTCGTCTCGGTAACACTGGCCAAGCCACGGGCCGGATTCGCGCCTTAGAAACCCTGGAGCACACTGCTGGCACGACAGACCACTGTATCCTGAATAATAATTGTGTTTCGTAACGATATGAAATTCTGGACTGGATGGAGGCATAAGGTTTTCTATATACCGGAAGGGCATTCACACTCCTCGACGTAGGACGCGGATCCTAAGCCAGTATTACGCGCATCGGCGGTGTCCATTACAATGTTCGTGATTCGGACGTCCAAGTGCGGAGAATCGTCGTATTGGGCCCTGTAGGAAAAGCTCGTTACCAGTTACCAAGAACCTCGTCAACAGATTTCATCCAGTAGCGAAACGTACTTGATCAAAATGTAGTCCACTCGTGCAAGCGTCATCATGATGTCTCCCCTGGATGCAGGAATTTCGTGGTGACCTTCTTGCTTGTACCATTCGCCCTGGAAGAACCTGACGGACTCCTCGTTGTCGTAACTCGGTACCAATTGCCTGTCTCTGTGGACCAGCACGTAGTCGTTCCCGCTGATGATGACCGATGGCGCCGAGTTTGGCGAACCAGTGCCATTGTAACGGACTCTGTACTTCAAGTAGCCTCCGTAAGACTTCAGCTGACTGTCGTGGTAGTTCTCGGGCAACGCGAAGTACGTAACCCTTTCCTCGGCTCTCACGCCAAACGCATCGTTCGACAACGTCTCCATCGCGGACAGCTGAACACCGTCCCGACCTATGCTTGCCACTTCCATCAGTTGGCTACTAATATCTCCGAGCAATGGAAAACCTGGATACTGGGCGACGGCCTTAAATTTATGACGGTCGAAAGGTGGAGGTATCTGATAGGTGAACAGGTTCGCGCTGTGACACTCGGTCGCCACACCGAAACAGAAACAGGAGATGCACTCGCTCGCTGTTCTCGCCTCGGAGTTGAACGTTCCCTTAGGGCAAATGGAATCAGACCTCCTGTCCACAATCACGGTCGCGTCTGGTACCGCGAATACGAAGCCACCGCTGTTGATCGCCTCGCAGGAGTACGCCCCCGCATCGTCAGTGGCTATATTGTAGCATGTCAGAGTCCCTGTTCCATTTACCGACGTCATGGTACACTTTACAGGAACGTGACCCCAGTTTCGACGCCAGTTGATCACTGGCACGGGGACGCCGATCGCCTTGCACTCGAGCAACAAATCTGCTCCTTCAGCTATGTGAACCATCGGTGGGGGTGGCTGTACTATGTACACCCCGGCTGAAAACGACAATGTGATATTCCCTCCGTTTGCAACGAGTCGAGTTAAATACATTTTACGCAAGTATATCACGCATTGTAACAGACAAGATTGTATTTAACGCGTCAACGAAGTCATATAGTTCATATAGTCATGTAACATTTGCAAGATTTGGAAACACCTTGACCCTACGAGCCCACCCACGTTTATCCACATTTTTAACTATCTGATTGAAAGTCAGCATAAGTCCCTCGTCGCTTTTTACTTTCTTATCTAATTCTAGTTTTTTAAAAAACATTTTTGTTAGTCTATTTTGTTGGGCGCTCCCGCTCGTTCCTCTAGAGTTAAGAATTCCAATCGTGTCGTCTCAGTGTCGTTCTATTCTATACTTTCTACGGAGATCAAAAGACTGGTCGAGGTAAATAAATTTTAGTCGCTTACAGCATCCTATCTCGTCGCTGCCGTCCATGCAGTCTTTCTCGTGATCGCACTGGTACACTTTCGGTATGCACTGGCCACTGGCGCACTCGAACTCGGAGTAACGGCAGGGGGAGTTCGGCGGTGATGGCGCGCAGTTTTCTTCGTCGCTTCTGTCGGCGCAATCTTGATCGCCGTCGCAACGCCACAATTTGCTCACGCACTCGGTGTTGTTGCAACGGAACTCGTTGGGCTGGCAACCATGGGGGCCTACCACGTGTACACGAAAATATAATCGCACGAACGAATATGGAAACACCGGAAGTATGTCAGACCGTCGAAAGAGAAGACTTACTGCATCGCATTTCGTCCGATCCATCGGTGCAGTCCAATCTACCGTTGCATACGTACGATTTAGGGATACAGTCTCCATTGCTGCAAGTTGCTTCTTCGTATTGGCACGTGGCTCTGCTGGTCACTGGTGGATCGACTGGAAAGAACACATGACTTTCAGGCGATGTTCAATCCGGTTTAATTCGATTCAGACTAGAATCAAGTAAGTGGCGCGTTCACGCGACAATGGCCGTTAAAGCGTTAGGAATTACACGCTTACACTTTTCTACGTCGAGGTGAACGGTGACTTGCCGGCCTAACGCGGATGGAGGATAGCCTATTGCTTCGCAAACGTAGGCCCCAGCGTGATCCAATTGGATATTTGGCATTTCCAGACGTCCATCGATGTCTCGACTGCCAGGTGGTAAAGGAAGACCGTCACCACGAACCCAGCGCACATGGGCCCGAAGAGGACTCTCGTCTCGACACTGGAAGACGACTTCGCGACCTAACGATCGAAGGATAATTATATTTTCTGCAAATAATTTTCTTTAACGATGCAGTATTATGATCTTGTTTACTTCCAGCGTATTAATTTCACCGCATTTCCAAGCACCGCTTTTGTTAACACTGAACCTATCGCGACATTCTAACATACAATGTTACTTTAGCGCCATGTAACTTCTCGACTATTCTTAGAGTATACGTGTAATGAATTTTTAGTCTGTCTTGCCTACCACGACCGGTTGAACGATTTCTATTTTTTTGTAAAAAACCGGACAATATTTGGTATCACTTTCCATACATATGATGCAAAGATTAGAAGCAAGTTGCCTCGTAATAGAGAAAAAGAATGACTGGTCATTTGATAGGTCATGGTAGGAATATACATAAAGTGTCTATAGGTTTAGTGTTAACGCGGGTGTTCAATATTTAGTATCATTAACAGACTTGAAAGTAATGAAGTGGTGACCTAAAATAATTTTGGATACTTTTACTCGAACACTGACTATATCATATATTTGAATAAACCTGTTCACTGTTCAGTTTCTCATTTGTAACAAATATCTGCAGTGTTGTTAATGTCGTGTGAGTTAATTAACGTCAATCGTTAAACGTTAAATGTTTTGAATATGAAATGTTTCGGTGAGAAACAGGTAACATGATCGAACGTTAATCAATTTTTTCAAGGGCGTAGTCAGAATGGGGTAAAAGGCACTTTAGGTAATGAAGTTTTCGTCAATCATTTCTACCCCGTCGAAGAAAAAATTCCTACTATGCCCTTGATTTTTGTTATACTTTGTAAATTGAAACTGCGCGAAATTCTAAACAGCATTATTTTTGCGACTGCTTCTCAGGAAAATCTTACCTTGCTTTGCCAGAGCTAGGCAAGAAAAAAAATAACGAGAATTCTTATTAATAAACCCTTTAACACTTTACGCTTAATCTACAATATAATACTATATATTTTTCTCTTTTTGATAATTTTGTGATTTCTGATGTAAAGATAGACGAATACGTACTTTCTTTGATTACTTGCTCGCTGGGATATGTCTTGAGATTGAGGCGCGCCAGATCTGTAGACGTATCTGCGGATAACATACAAAGAAAACTATGCATCGATGAAAATTAATGAAATAAAATGTACGGAAATGTTCGTTCCACGGTGCATTCGCTTACCGCAATTCTGTTCGTCTGATCTGTCTCTACAATCTGGTACCCCATCGCACATAGAGGACTGAGGAATACAGTTTTTGTCACTGACGCACATGATGTAACCAGCTGGACAACGTGCAGGCGCGGGGTACCGACCATCTCGATTGAAAGAAAATAGATAACAATCGGTTAATTATCTGCACTTATCGTTTTAAAACCTTTGTATGCAGTATATCATGGCATTGATACATACCACAGTCTTCTCTCTCGTCAGACCCATCGTCACAGTCTATATAACCATTGCACTTCTGCTCAGACCTGATGCAAACCCCATTCGTGCATTGGAATTGATCCTTTCCACATCCTGCAAATACATCACGCATTGTAACAGATAAGATTGTATATAACGCGTCAAAGAAGTCGTCATATAGTTTTGAAAAACGTGATCGAGGCATAAAAACGTATATAAATCAGTCATGGAACGAAGGATCTATTTTTACTCTTTGAACGATGGATCAAGGATTTTAAAGTACCTAGAACTAGGACCATCGGTACATGTAAAAATGTATAGAAATAATCACGCACAGAAAAACAGCCAAGGGTTCTCGTCCAATTATTTTCAACACACAGATCCTAGGAACTACGTTCTACGCTTCTTTAAATCCTTCGGATTTTTCTGTGCATGTACACGAAGACACGAATATTAACCAGACTACTAATATCTACGATACCTAGAAAGGTGTTTAACATAAATTCGTCGAAAAGAAGGACATTTGCAAGATTTGGAAACACCTTGACCCTACGAGCCCACGTTTATCCATATTTTTCAATAATTGCTTTATCAAAACCTTACAGATGGATTGGAGATCAGCATATGCCCCCTGTCAGTTTTTACTTTCTTATCTAACTCTAATATTTTAAAAACATTTTTGTTAGTCTAGATTGTTGGGTGCTCCAATCGTGTCGTCTCAGTGTCCTTCTATTCTATACTTTCTACGGAGATTAAAAAACTAGTCTCATGCTGTGACAAGGTTTACACTAAATCACTACCAACAGGGATTTAATCGGTCATGTCAGGCAATGGATGCACTAAGATTTACAGGCGTGTAAATCTCTACACGATCAACTGTCTACTCGGCTGCTAACATAGACTGAAAGTAAACAGTGCAGATCCTAGAGAATCTGTGGCGTCCAATCGCAAACGATCGTTTAGACGAGTGCTGGTCTGCGTTTCGAGGATTTAGGCGAACGGAAAGGACAGGGGAAACGTGGGAAATTGGATTGGAAAGACAAGGACGCCAACAGATCTTCAAGATCTACGTGTGATCTAACCGAAGCAATATTGTTCGTCGGTAAAGTCGCGGCAATCGTAGAATTGGTCGCAGTGATGATTTTCAGGGATGCAAGTGCCGTCAGCACAAACAAAATCATCCGGAGCACAACTCCTTGGCGTGCTCGGATTAGCCGATGGTTGACTGTAACCCTTGCTAGCTTGGTTCTCGTGGGTTAGCCCCACCAGGGTGTCCGGATGTCTCCTCGAGGAGGTTTTATCCGACGTGTTTATACCTAGAAGTAACCGAAACTGAACCAGCTTGTTCGCGGATGAGCTTTATTGTTTGGCGTTTCTCTAGATCCTTGACTCGCCTTTGCGACTAATCCTGGACACGAGGAATTACTTACTCTCACCGTCTCTGTACACTTTATGCGAGTGACTCGTGATACACCTCAGACTGACAGCAGGCCCAAACAATTTCGAAACGTTCCAATGAAAATTTTTAAAAATGATTAAACGAGAAGGGATTTAATTGCTTCAAGTTTCGGTACAAAACTCGAACGTGTGACCTAATGCAAGTGCTCGAATCACTGACTAATTAGTGTTTAGAGTTCCTCGCGCTTGGGTTGACGTTCTCCGGGGTTCTCGTGAGAAATATTGAGTTATCTGTCTGTTTCGCGTGTCTGGCGATGATCACCTGCCGGCAGTCTAAAGTCCAGCTCGAATCTGTGGACGTAGAAACACGGTGCGACCGAATTCGTTGGTTCTAGCAGGCGGTGTGGACGGACATGTCACAGCCAAACATTGTGTAGGCACCTGGTGCGTTGCGTGATCTAACGAATTAAATGTGCAAGGTCTTGTGGCGTGTATTTACAGTTAGTGAGAATGGCTGCGACGTGGTTGAACGTGTTCTCCGCATTAACGATCTCTAGCGAACACTCCGAACTCGATATTACTTCGTGAAGGAATGATCGATTCTGCTTCCTCTACATACTATTTACATTGAAATCGCAATTCTTACAGCAGTTGCCGCACGCTTCGGGCCACGCTACGACGCTTTCTAACGCCCAGTTCGCGTTTCGTCCCTTCCAAGCATCGTTTCACCGCACGGTTTTCGACTCACCTCGATGACAATTCAACTCGTCGTCCTCGTGAGGGCAGTCCTGTCGTCCGTCGCAGACGGCGGACGCTGGAATGCAGCTTCCATCCCGACAGGTGAACTCATTTTGATGACATCTAATAGATTCTGTAACTCTGCTACCCCCAGTCTCGTCTGTAATTTCAATCGATCGCGCGTTAAAAGACCTTTTTGACAATGTTATTTTCGACTGAAATTACCAGGCGAAATTTTCTGAGCTATTTGTAATATGGTACAGGATGAGGATTCAAGTTCTTTGGACTATCCTCAAGTTTAAATTGAATATAACTGCTCCAGAGAAGAATTCTGGTTCTATAGAGTCCAGGTTTAAATTAAATTATAGTCCAGTGCTTTAGAGCAGAGTGTTTTGCACTATTATTGAATAAAGTAGAAGTATACAGGATGTTCGGAATTGTTTGAATCATTAAAATCCCTCAATTCTTCCAGAAGTTATGATTTGTTAAATATACGCATGAAATTTCGGAAAAACATTTCTGGCCACACGGTATATTTTCGGTAAAGAATTTTTTTCTCGAAAGTACGTAGGATTTCGGAGGTATGTCTATTCACCAAAAATGATTGTAATTAACCTCTGCAACCGAAAATAATTTTTTCAGAAGGATTTGAAATTTTTTTTTTCGCCGAAAAATTTGAGCACAAACTCGAATTTTTTTCTCGAAAGTGCGTAGGATTTCGAGGGTATATTTATTCACCAAAAATAATTGTAATTGCCCCCGGCAACGGAAAATAATTTTTCTAAAATGATTTGAAACTTTCAATTTAATTTTTTAATAATTTTTTAACGAAACCTCAATCAAGATATTGATATTCTTGATTTTCGTCTTATTTTGTCCTCTAAAATCTGCCATTAAAATTTTTGCCAAGGATGGCCGAACACCTTGTATAAGTCTGAGTTAGGTCTGGGTTATGTCTGAGTTAATTTGCAGCATGGCACAGGATGAGGGTTCTAGTTCTTTGGATAATCTTCAAGTTTAAATTGAACATGACTCCTCCAGAGAAGAATTCAGGTTCTATAGAACCCTGGTTGAAATTAAATTATAGTCCAGTGCTTCGATCGGACTGTTCTACAGTATTATTGAATAGAAGAGAAGTATATACTCCGAGTCAGGTTTGGATTATGTCTGAGTTAATAAACTGAAGAAAATCGTTAAAAATCAGAGTTGTTTGACTCCTTTGCACCAACTATGGGATTTAAGGAGCTGATCAGCCTCTGAGAGTGTGTTAGATTTCCATTAGATGTGTTTCTTAAACGTAACTTTCGAGCGTTCAGATCGAGTTGACCGTAGAAACGCTCGAAGGAGTAAGAGAATGGAACAGAAAATAATTCGAACAGAATGTTGCGTCAAATGAAAGGACGTTCTTACGGCAGTCGCGTTCGTCGCTGCCGTCGAGGCAATCGACGTTGTTGTCGCAGAAGAAGTTACTGTTGATGCAGATGCCGTTGTCGCACGGAAGCTGGCCATTGGGACAGTCTGAAAAAAGGTACACCGGACATCAGCTGTTGAAAACGCAGAGCTTCGAAGTTCCAAAAGAAATCCCAATGAGAAAAGAAAAAGAGCTGGCAGTGTGCGCGCTTCTGACGAATCTATCGTTGGTAAAATTTGGAGGAAAGTCCGTGAAAGGGGCGGACGATCGTCACGGATTGATTTTCCACGGTCTGACGATGAAATTAAACGAGATAGAAGGAGGATGCAACCCAGCTGATCGAATCGTCGAGCGAACAGCGTGCACACTGCCGGCTGTCATGCGACGTTTTAAGAAAACGCGGCGAGCGCACGTGTACACGGATTCCATGGCGAAAGTGTCCATCTGTGTGTCGTGTCGACACACCGTACGCCTGTGTTTGCAGAAAATAGTGTGATGGAATTGGAATACCACGGTATTTTTGTCTTTCTTGAATTACGGTTCAATCTTGAAATTGACGTGACAGAGCAGACTCTTTTAGATTTTAGATGCGGAGGATCTGGAGCACAGACGATAAGCTTCTTCGTTAAAAAATATGAATTAATTTCTAAATGATAAAGTACAGCTTTGTGCTTAATTTGTTACTTATTTTTAGAGGATTCGTGTCACGGAAAAACAAATTAGCAAAAGTATAGATCGCAGTTAGAATAGTTGCATGAACGGTCTGTTCCCCGCGAAAAGGGGCACGCAGTTCATTATAATTATCTAGCCACGTCAATTTCGTCGTTAATCGCGGTCGAATCGAGTCGATAATTAGCATTACGCCAAAGGCGTTGGCGTGATATTCCAATTGGTATTCCAATAAAGAACGACGCCGTTATTGGAAGAGTGGTAAGTACGAAAATTCTACTGTTGCAGCCACGATAACTCCGTGAACTACGTCCTCCCTGGGGAGGATGAGAGCGCAATGTACTTCCCCAAAAGCTACGAACGTTTAAACGGTATCAGACAGAAAGATCTAGCCAAAAGGCGATGCCTCGTAAATCTAAGACAATGATATCATTCGGGAGAAGTGAAGAGAATCGTGAACAAAAAATGAGGCAGAAACGAAGAGATCGTACACTGCTGGTCAACTAGAGAAAAGAAGAAACAAAGCATCGTAATCAAATATTCAACGAATTTAAACGCGCGGTAGCGACTTCGCGTTAGACCCGACAATTGTACGTACGAGTAAAAATAATGTCTCTGTTTAATAACTAACGCTGCACGGCGAAAGTAAACACCTTGATTAAAAAGAACTTTGTTCGTTGAAGCATTATTCCAGCCGTTTCTAAATTATTTAGTGTTCGTTGCGCGGTGACGGAAAAGTTTAACGAAGGGGATGTATCTTGCGAAACTTAAAAATAATCTTCAGATTGACGTGTGTGTTGTCGGACCAGCAGTGCAGAGAATGATAAAAAATCCCTCGATACGTTTGGATCGTGTACGTGTTCGTGCGTTGTGCGAAGAAACTTACAATTATAATAAACATTAGAGTGTAAAAAAGATACACAGCAGACAGTCAGAGAAATACATAATATATACATGTGAAGATTCAGGCAACCTCAGCTGAAAGAAGAAACAAAAAACGAAGAAAAGAAAAGAATAGGGTGACAGAGGGTGGAAGACAGAGAAATCGAGCAGAAGAAAACAAACAGAGAATATACAGGGTGAGGCATTTTAAACAGGTCACCTGAATAACTCGCTTGTTTTTGAAGATAGGAGAAAATGCATTAGACCAAACTTATTTGGTATCGGGGGGCTCATAATCTGGTATTACCAATTTTTTTGTAGGTGGAGGCGTCAAGGAGATATGAAGGTCAACTTTGTTTTTTTAAATGGAACAGTATATTTTATTACTTACATTCTGATAGAGTGTTTCAAGGCGAATACAATGACCTATTATTAAGGTCATTCAAGGTCACCCAAAGTCAACTGCAATAGAAAATAAATTGTGTCAAAGCACTCTTCGAACACTTGGATACTTTGATACTGCTATTACAAGTGTTCAAAATGGCGACCTTGAACATGGATACATAGTCTAAATCGTTGCAATACTGATGACACTGCCTGGCAAATTTCATTTGTATCTATTACAGAGCAAGCTCTTCTTATACGTTCTTGCATGTCAAGTTTGGTAGTTGGTTTTTCGCGGTACACTTCTGCCTTTAATTTTCCCCACAAATAAAAATCGAGAGGTGTCAGGTCTGGGGATCGTGCCGGCCATTTGTTACTTCCTGATCGACCTACCCAAGAATCTCCAAATTTTCTATTTAGAAATTCTGTAACATTGCGTGCTGAATGAGCAGGGCATCCGTCTTGCACGCAATGTTACAGAATTTCTAAATAGAAAATTTGGAGATTCTTGGGTAGGTCGATCAGGAAGTAACAAATGGCCGGCACGATCCCCAGACCTGACACCTCTCGATTTTTATTTGTGGGGAAAATTAAAGGCAGAAGTGTACCGCGAAAAACCAACTACCAAACTTGACATGCAAGAACGTATAAGAAGAGCTTGCTCTGTAATAGATACAAATGAAATTTGCCAGGCAGTGTCATCAGTATTGCAACGATTTAGACTATGTATCCATGTTCAAGGTCGCCATTTTGAACACTTGTAATAGCAGTATCAAAGTATCCAAGTGTTCGAAGAGTGCTTTGACACAATTTATTTTCTATTGCAGTTGACTTTGGGTGACCTTGAATGACCTTAATAATAGGTCATTGTATTCGCCTTGAAACACTCTATCAGAATGTAAGTAATAAAATATACTGTTCCATTTAAAAAAACAAAGTTGACCTTCATATCTCCTTGACGCCTCCACCTACAAAAAAATTGGTAATACCAGATTATGAGCCCCCCGATACCAAATAAGTTTGGTCTAATGCATTTTCTCCTATCTTCAAAAACAAGCGAGTTATTCAGGTGACCTGTTTAAAATGCCTCACCCTGTATATGTATATATATATATATCATCATCATTTGCAAACATCATTCTAGACATCTCTCAGATTCATTAAAAAGTATATCAGATAATCCAAAACGTGAAAAGTGAAGGAAGATTGAAAAAAGTGCCACGCTGAAACATACAAAGATAGATCTTTCGCGCGATACATCGAGGCTGTTCGGTGCATTCGTGATCGAAACAGATCGGTAATTATACATTTAACGAGGCGCGCGACCGAAAACGTTGTTAGAAAAGCGCGGAAAAACATGGCGTAACGTTCTCAAAAGAGGTAAAGCGAACTAGGAGCCTCTCGCTGGCTGCATCTCTCAAATTGTTCTGATAAAAATGCCCCAAGTAGGTCGAGTACCCTAACAAAATTTGCACAGCCCAAAGGGCCAAATAATGGCGCGCTTAAAAAATATATTCCGCATTGAGTTTTTTGCAAACGATTGAACGGACCACCGTACAAAATTCGATTAATATGGATTTCTCGTACGAGACGCGGTGTAATTGTAATTAAACGTGAAATCAAGTTTTGTCGTTGTGGTTCTCGTTTTCGAAAAAAACGACTTTAAAGTCGGTCGAGAGTGCGTGCTCACGGCGAGGCACAGCGATTCTCCGCAAGGAAATCTCCGTTTTTTCCCTCGCTTATTGCAATTTTTCTGTATTTTCCGCGAGCAAACCAACGAAACACAACGATTCCGCGGTGAAACAATATTTGATTCGCCAACGTCAAATCGCTTCGATAATCGCGTATGGTCTTATCATCACGCTTTTACGTGATCTTAACTACGCGGGGAGATAAGTAGTCCGTGAAACTTGTGAAATTACGTTCTCGATAATAAATCTTTTAAAGATTTTATTATGTTTGTAAGTAAATTGATCGAGGGTCATATTTCGTGTTCAACGATTACTCGATTGTTTCCTTTGTACGTGCCATCAAGATATTTAAAAAATCACTTTCCATTTTATTCTGAAAGTTACAACGTTTGGATCTCAGAATTGTGTAAATAGAACATTAGAAAGTCTAAAATTATCCTTGCAACGTATTCTAAACTAATTCATTTTGTTAAAATATTATAAGCGATAATGTCTAACTATGTAAAATCTACATTCTACTAAAGATTTTATTCCCCTTAATAAATGAATAATCATAATAACTCTTGAGGGCCACGACCTGGTTGCACTCTTGCGAGGAGCAAAAAAAAAAAAAAAAAAACATTGAGGTGGTTTTACTAGGATAAAAAACCATAAGAGTGTTTTTACCCTGCAAGTAATATTCTTGACAAGCTTGAAAAAAATAAAAAATGGTCTCGGAATTGACGATCGCGAAAAGTCGAGGAAAAAATCGTCCGCCCTGGGGCTGAAGGGATCGTTTCGCCATATTTGGGTCGGAGTTCGCGTTTCGGGGTAATTCATTCGGTCGCGGCGGTCTCGTTTAAAAATTTCTATTTGGAATGGCGGACACCGCGCAGCGTCGATTTTTTAAAGGACGGCCTCGGCCGTAATGTCGCGTCGTCGGTATTCAAGTCGACAGCAGTCAACGTCCGGGGGTGAAACACGGTCGATACAATGACGAAACGAGATTAACGGCTCGCACGTCTGGCAGGGCGAGCACTCGCATTAGTTACAGCTTCTTAATTGCCGCCTTGAAGACCGACGCGCGAGCAGGAGCCGCTCGAACGGCTCCGTGGCTCGTTCCCGAACCGATCCGCGCACGCATCGATTTCCATTCTCTGGCTTCTTCTCGTTTTTCACGCTCGAACTTGTTCCCTCGAACATCCATACCTGGTTTCTTTCTATTTCTACCGGAAGGACGTTCCAGCATGCCTCCACCAACCCCGAGATAAAAATTACCGAGGAGTCGGTCGATGCTCCCCGAAAACTGCACGGAACTCCAACGCTATTTGTATCGCGGTTTATTTTCTGCGCGAAAAAAACGAGCAACACGATTCTTCGATACAGCTTAAAAAATAAGTCAATTTATTCTTCGTTCGATTCTAAGTTGCTTCTAACTTTTGCTGGTAATTACTAGTAATTTGTACGATTGGTTCGAGAGTATTGGAAATCTTATTCAATGGAGAAATTGTGATCGAATGCGTGGACGGATGGCAAAGGAAGCGAGCGTTTCTTTTTGTTTAAATAGAGGCTATTTGAGTAAGTATCGTTGAAAAAAGAGGGAATATTCGCCGTGGGATCAAAGCAGGCTTGATGATTCCGTCTTTTCCCGTCTATCGCGCTGCCCTTCATGCGAGAGTATCCGAAAAAGACTGGTTGGAGGGAGAGATACGTCGAAACTCGTAGCGAGAATAATTCATCAGCCGCGTGTTAGACTTAACCGAAGAAATTACGCGCGAACGGGAAACGGGAGAACCGCGGAATGCAAAATGAGAAAAAAGAGAGAGAGAGGGCAGGGGGGAACAGGCAGAAAGATATGCAGATAAAAGGTCGACGAGAATGAAAAAAAGAACAGCCATTTGAGCGATGGCTGATTCGCGCTGCACGTCGAACCCTCGATCCGAGCTCTTTCAATTGAAGAGTTGCTCGAGGAAAATTTGTTTCGAGTTTCCGGTGTCGTGGATATATGTATTTGGCCTTTCGATCGTGGAAGGACAATCTTCATTCAAGTTCATTCAATTTTCATTCAAGTTCAGGGCCCGTTTACGTAATGCCGATATTCCGATGATGAAATTAATCGTGTCCGAATCGAATTGTATCAATTATCCATGAGTATTTCACGGCTCGAAAATTATTCAAGAACCGTTTAATCAACGAGGGTGGAAAGATCCATCCAACTCTTGATTGTCAATATTCTCACTATCTCTCAGCCAAAACCAACATGATCAATTTATCCATTTACAGATTCCGTGGTCAGTCTTGCACGAATACATGCTGGTTTGTTCTATAATGAACGACAGAAGAAGATTAGTTTGCCGAAGATCGATGTCACTGAAGAGGTCTGTTCTTCGTTTACGAAGGCCTCGTATTTTCATATTGAGAACCACTGCGTTCAGGAGACCTCGATAGACTCCTCTCGTTGTGAAAGCCCGAAGATCAATCTGTCCACGATCGAGACCTACGATAAATCCACCCCGCTAGAAACTGAAACCAATCAGGGACGGTCCTTCTATGGTTCGACGTGGAATGCAAATCCGTTCTTAATAAAGAGTACAAAGAAAGACAGAGAGAAAAAAGAGAGATAGAGAGAGAAATAAATGATCGTACGGCAATTGATCTCGTCCGAGCCGTCCAAACAATGCGGCTGACCGTCGCAACGTCTCTTACTGTTGAGGCACAATCCGTCGTCGCATCGAAACATTCCAGCCGGACATTCGCTCACTACAACGTGATCCCCAAATGGCCAGGTGGTACTCCGTTACAACATCGTGCATTAATGCGAAATAAGGGATGCAGGGGACAGGGGGGGGGGAGGGGCAGAAATGGCCTTAACAGCGGGGTATGCGCGTCCCTTTCAGCCAATCTCATCGATGGATTCGAAGAGTGTAATTCATGCTATGGTAGGCGGGCGAAAACGATGCGTATCGCTGAAAGGGACGTTCAACCCTTCTACCACCCTTGCCACGGACTCCTTTGCGTGCACGTTGGTCCGTCCAGTCCAGAGATTCCAAAAGAATACTCACGTGTTTGCTCCGAGTTGTCGCAACAAGCATGGCACAAAAACAACGCATGCGTCCGAAATTTGATTGTTACACAGAAATACGCATGCAAATACGTGCGTCTTGCGGGCGCAATTAGGCTCGCATCGACGTCAAACGCGGCTGAACAATGACTCTTGCGACACAGATACAGCGATTCCCGACGAGAGTATGCGATGATACGTGCAAAACGAATGATGGTTAACGAGATTCGAGAGGAACGACGCAGGACGGATGCAAGGATCGGGGAAAGGATGGTGAATTGGTCGTTGCTATCATTGTTTTCGTAAATTGGCGAGAATTCGTGTGCTGTTAAATCGTTCAAAGGTTAATGAAATTGTTGAATGACCCTGGATAATGAATGTCCAACGTTAATTGATGTATTATTTTAACGAGCGAGTCTTGTGCCGGTCGAACATCGTCAAACATCGTGAAACGTTTTGAGAAAGAGAATGGCCAATCGAAATTGTTTGATCTCGAAACAATTTATGAAACCATTCGTACAGAGAAAGGAGAGGGTGGGCGGCCAATTTTCGTCACGTAAGGGATGTAGGTCAGGGAGGACACATAGTTACCACATCCAGTCTCGTCAGATCCATCGACACAGTGGATCGTGTCATCGCATCTCTCGTTTTCTGCTATGCATTCACCACTGGCACATTTCCATTCGGCTGGTGAACAGACCCCTTGGCGGTACGAACACGTGTAAAGCACACGAAAAATGCGTTAACGTTGCAGGTTTCGAATTTCAAGGATTTTTCGGGTGGGGGGAGATAGGGTTAGTTCCAATCAACTTTGTTCAACTTCTCCGCCAACGCGGGCTATTTTTCCGCAATTTAAACGAGGAAGTCGATTGGTAAGAATTGCTGGCTACAAATGAGAGAGGGCTGGCGGAGAGAAGGACATGGTATTCTAGGTCACTCCGAAGCGTCGGTTCTATTCTCGAGCGTACTCTTTGTCGTGGTCCTGCTCAATCTACAAAGTCTAGATATAAACTTCTCTAAATCTAGGTTCAAACTAGCTTAAATGCTTCGCATGCAAACTGATCCATGCCTCTTGATTAAAATCTCTATCTTTATGCCCAGATCTACTTTCAAACATCTACTAATTAGATTCGATTCTCGTCCGGGCCCAAATCTAAGTTCTACCTTGTCCAGGTCTACAAGCAGGCGTTTTTACAAATCGTTTACCTGAGTGAACGCCGTGTTAAAATTTGAATAAAATTTCGTTCAACTTTGTCTTATTCTTGATAGCCTCTGGATCTTCCGAGTGACCTTGAAAGGAGCGAATGAAGCTCTTACCACAACCACGTTCGTCACTGCCGTCGAGACAATCGAAGATATTGTCGCATTTGCGCCGAAGTAGAACGCACATGCCGTCATCGCAACGCATTTCCCTGCTCGGATCGCATTCCTTCTTTCTCTCGGTCGACAAGCCTGGCCAGTGCTGATCTGAACGTACATACACAGACAAGGCGCACTGCAAACTACTTCAAACAAAGCGTTCCAGCGGGGTACAAACGTGGAAAATGCTTCGACGACGGGGAAGAACGACTTTTGGAAGTTTAATGAAAACGAGATTTCGATTTGCCACGAATCCAACAAAAGGTAGAGCTAGATTCGTAGCATAGAATTTAGCAAATTTCTCGCCCCCGGCTCCGCTATTTCTTCTATTAAGCTAATGAATTAATTAGGGCCGAGTCTCCTTGCAACCAGCGTCGTCGTCCCCGTCGCGGAGTGCTGGCCAAACAACAGAGTTTTTTTACCTACGTCGACTTCAGCGCGTCCGAAATATCAGAGGACGCGTAAACTCGTTTCTTTGAGGTGCATTAAGTCGTGCATCGTACAGAGAAAGGGAGCACAGATGGAGAGGAGTCGTATACAGTCGAAAGCAGAATTGCAAAATATGCGGTAAAAGTCTAACCGGTGAGTCGAGAACAAAGTTCTGTCGTTCGATGTTACGGTTAAAGCAGCACTTGCGACTCAATCGCTGGTACTTTGGTCTCGACCCAACGTTCCTCAGTTGTCAACAAATGTGCCCTCGATGGACGAAACTCCCTGAACCAATGCGACAACTATCGAACGAGTCGATCGAGATACGCGACGATTTCTATACGATTCGACACCGATCGGGGAGTTTCGTCCACGCGATGGCTATTGGCGCATCCATGAAAAGAAATGAAAGAAAATGAAAATGGGGAAAAATAGGCGTACTGGTAGGCTGAGTGGCGTGTGTAATGGTTTCGTTTGCGCAATCTTCGTCGCTGCGATCTGGACAGTCCGGATGGCTGTCGCACCTGTAGACACCCTCGATGCACTTGTTTCCGGTGAGGCATTTGAACTGGGTGGGCGTGCATTTCCGTTCTGTTTGTTTTGTGTTGCGGTCGTTTGTATCGCAGCGGGAATATATATATGCGCAGAGAACACACATTTATGTACAGATACGTTGACGGTGAACGCTGGTGAAAAGCGGATAATTATTCGTTCAGGGAACTCGGTTTTACCAGTCGAAGAAGGACATACAACGAACGAGAACTTGGTCTCCGATGTCGGATTATTCGTCAGCAATCGATCGTTGATAATAATCTACTAAGTTTGGTATCGTTGAAAGAGTTTTAATTCGCAGAGATTTAAGTTTAAAGCTTGCGAGTTCAACTTGTACTTTAAATTGAATAATTAAATAGTCGAATATTTTACATATTCATTAGAACTAAGACTATGCAATTTATTCAAATATCTCGAATACATAACTGTGCAACATAACTTTCTCTTGAGAGAGAAGCTGGATCCTTCCAAAGGGACCAAAGTTTTATCGCTAGATTTAGAAAAGATACGAATATTGCGTTCCTTCTTCGATTCTGGGTTACCTCGTCGCCTCAACGGAGCATAATTATTCTATAATCAAGTGGTGGTAAGGGAGGACGATTTCTGGACTTATTTTTCTCATCACGAAAGCTGGGAGCTCGAACAATGAAAGCGTTCGATGAACAACGGTACAAAAGCTTTTGCTTTTTACAAATTGGTAGGAACGACCGTTCTAAAAGGATACATTTAAAAGGCACAGAGCTTCGTATTACGCAAGTTTGGTTGCCTGCGACTTTATCGTTTAACAAGGGATTGATAATGTACTTGGGAAGAGCGAGTAATATATACAATCAATGATCAATTGGAGGTGTGAAGGTTTAAATTGTGAAGCTATCAATATACAAGTACAGCGACGATGGCCGACGAAAGCTTTAACGTTGTTTATTTGCCTGAAAATGTTAATTAATTTCATTGCTATTCGTGTGACTCTGCTTTAATCCTGTTTTTTGATTCGATGCAATAAACGGACATCAATCTACATTCTGGAAAATCAAGAGTAGAATAATAATCCCTTCTGATTCAACAATTACTTCGTTTTTCATTTATTATCTTCGTTAATTACGGAGTTGCTCGTTTGCAGTGATATAGCCCTTCATATCTCAGACGTCGAAATAAATCTATTTTCGAGTACCGCATGAAAGTAACATCGCGTTCGCGCCGATAAAAGGAAAATTATTAAAAGCGCTAGACCCAAGTTTAAAGAACGTTCCCGCAATTATTCATTTTACGATAGAAACAAATTTCAACTTCTCCGCGCGATTGTCGTTCGTTTCACACTTTCGACGCGTTAAAACTTTCGTCGACGTGGATCCAGCTGCGAGCAAAGTCGCGCGGAGGACCCATCGAGTCCGGGGTTATTTGGCAAGCAGAAGCAAGGATCATCGGTGCCGGAGACTCCGCGGAATAATGTAGTTTTGTAAAGGTTCGCGTGAACTGTTTTTAACGAAAACAGAGAATCTCACGAGGGGGTCCCTGGCACAGAGAGACCCGAGACGAAACGTAAGTGGTTATATACCGCAGTGAAGCTCGTCTTCTGCCCTCGGGCAGTTGTCGAATCCATCGCAAACCGTGCTCTCCGGTATGCAAGAGCCGTCGCTGCAGGTGAAGTCCGAAGAAGGGCACGGGGCCAAATCTATGGGGGCGCCACCGGCAAAAACAAACAGCCTGTTTCGTGAACCCTATCGCCTCGAGCTCCAGCTCTTCAGGATTCGTTGATCCTCTTTCAAGGTCGACGGGAAGTCTGATCGCGAAAAGCTCGAGCCGAGGCAGAGATTTGTTATGTACAAGCTATCCACGTGGGAACACATTTAAAGCGACATGGGACGTTGATGCACTGAAAGCAATTAATATGGTGAATGACGTGGCATACTGTGAATCTGCGACACTCTCGCTAGCAGATCAACCGTTGATCCTGCAACGCTGATTAAGTGTACAAATGTACGTAGACCAAGAAAAATTTCTATAATGGAAGAGAAACTCTGACGTAGAGAGTTCACTATAGTATTTACGTTCTGAACTGAAAATACAGAGTGGTCTGTGCATCTTGAAAGTCCAGGTATCTTTTAAATCTATTAAATTTTGAACAGTCGACACGGAGTCCTTTTTCTGGGGAGTGGTACGTGACCTTTCGCCTCCATTCAAAATTTACTCAAAAAGTTTAGGGGGGAAACTTGGACCGTGTTCGCGTGTGCGTTCGTAACAGCATGGAAGACCAGTTGCTAAATAGTGCATATTCAGCATTCCAGGACCAACGATTACGCGCAATTAAGCGAGTATTTCTCTGCCGGGGCATCCGCAGCTCACAGCACACGACTCCTCGACCACGGTGGAACTTTTTACACGGGATTCCTTCGAAGCTAACTAACACTTAAAGCGATCTGAAGAAGCCCCTCGAAGGTAAACGTTAGAATATTCTATGGATTATGTACAGGTGTTCGGTATAGAGTGAACGTGTAACTTTTTGTTGTGTCCGTTTGATGCTAACTAAGAAAGATCTTCGACGCTTCACGAGGAAAAGTAATAGAGTACCACGCGTTCTAGTCGAACGTTTAATAACCGATTTCACTGATCGAGTACTGACAAACCGATCGCGTTGTTGTCCATGTTACGTAGAACAGAGTCCATTACTTTGGTCGCGAACCTTTCCGAAGGATCAAAAAGTTTTTGTGACTTTCTGTGCATTCACAATTAATTTCGACTTTGCAGCTTTTTCTAGGGACACGAAGGTTACATGGAAATCATTGCTATTCCAGAAGAAGAAGAAAAAGACTGCAACGACGATACTTAGCGAATGCATAGAAAACGCGTCATCCAGCACTCGGCCTGTGGACGATCCAAAAACACAACCCCTAAAAGTACATTCATTGTCTTCCCTTCAAGGCCTTTGTACAGCACAAATAGACGTAACAAGGTAAAAGTTTTGACACATAGATCTTCTTCGTCCAACGACATCCGGTCGTATCGAAGCCACCACTTTATACAGCAGGTACCAACGTCTTTGGAAGCGAACATAATCCCCGATTTCGTCTCCGTTCATCGCGACGCTTTGTCGATCAGAGTCTGACGGTCCCACGAAGGGAGAAGCTAGTCTGTACAGCGGAAACGTTCGACAGTGAACACCAACGACTAGTTCACCCAGCTTTTCTCTACCTTTTGTTCTGCATCTGGCCTCGTCCGATCCGTCCTGACAGTCTTTAACGCTGTCGCAGACGCGATTGATACCGATGCAAGTCCCAAAGTCGCAAAGGAACTCTAACTTCCCGCAGGTCACCGGCTGTCTCCTGGTTTCCTTTTCCTTCCTCGTTTCGTTTTCCACGATTAGACGATAGTTATAGTCGCAGCCAAATTCGTCGCTGGCATCCGTACAATCCAAGACCCCGTCGCACACCATTTTCTGTGGGATGCAGGTGCCGATTTTGCAATGGAAAGACGACTCGTCGCACATAGCATCATCCGTGGTGGAAGATTTTTCCACGTAGCTCTTAGTAGACGTTTCTTCAGACGTCGCATCCGGGTCCATGACGGTCGTTTTGCCTCTCTTCTTGGGCCCCCAGATCAGAAAAAAGTCTTCGGTGGTAGAGAAATCCGTGGACACCGTGTTTTCCAACGTGGAGGACGACATCCATTCCTCGGTTTCATTTCCCTCGTGATCTACAGTCTCCTTCGACAGGAACTCTTTCACGTTTCCCGTCGTGGAGGAGTAAGTGGTAGACTCTTCGAAAATCGGAGGTCGCGTGGAATATGTAAATTCGGGGCTCAACCACGTCTGCTCGAAGCTGATCGTTGTTTCGCGTTGCATGGGCGTAGTAAACTGTGCGTACGTCTGATTTCTGCGACGATTCTCTTTCCCTTTCTTCCTGTCTTTCCTGCGTCTCTTGCCATCCTTTGGCCTCTTCTTGCCAGCCTTGGGCTTGCTCGTGCTAGGATCGGTGATGAATTCTACCAGATCCGTGGACTCCGTCACTCTGGTCGCCTTGGCGCTGTACCAGGGTGTTTCCCTTCGTTTCTCGTTGGAATTAATCACAACAGTTTCTTCGATCAATCCCGAATCGATTTTCTCGACGCTTTTCAGGATCTCGTCAAAGTCCGATTGCGACAGCTTCTTGTTGTTTTTCATCGTGTACTTTTTCCAGAATAAGGCACACTTGGACTTGCATCTGTCGACTTCGGTGTTCAATGTCTGCTCCGCGATCATCGAAGAGTTCTTTGGCCTTTCGTTGGAAAGTCTATCCTTGCTAAGCAAATTCACGTCGACCTTCGAGTTCCACGAGTTGGATTCGTACAATCCGTTCTCCACTTGAACGGACAAGTTAGAGTGGTGGATGGACTCTTTGCTGACTGAATTCTTTTTGAACTCCTTGATTGCATTATCAACTAGCGTTTCGTCCCACGGACATGGCTTTTCGGACTCTTCTTCCAAAAGTTCCGTCGTTGATTCTTCGATGCTCATCGTGCTTTCAGTCCGGTCTTCTTTAGAGAATAGTTCGATCTTTGACACGTCCGATTTATCCTCCTCTGAATTGGGTTTTGTAGAGTTTTCTTCAACGATGGTCGTCGAATTGTTATCGTCATCTTCGAAGAATTCGGTTGTTGATTTTTCAGTCCAATCGTCGATGATAGTATTTTCTCTTGAATTCCACTTTATAGTTTCGTCGGTGTAACCACCTTCCGAAGTTTCACTAAAGTTCTCTGTGTTTTTCTCCAGCTTTTCTTCGTAAACAATTTCATTCTCCGAGGAATCAGGACTAACCGAAGAAGAGAATACGTTCCATGTGGTCGAAGTGTCAATTTTTGGCGTCGTTCTCAATTTTTTAAGATGCTTCTCGTAGTATTCCTTGAACAACGAGCCAGCCTCGGACTCAGATTTCTGTGTGCTTGATTTCACTTCGTCATCGTCCATCGTCGACGTGGTCGACGAAAAGTCTGCGGTAAACGAAATCCAAGGACTCGTAGTACTCTTGTTCCTGGAAGCCTGGACCAAAGCATCAGAATTTCTATCGTTCTTCGAGTACTTTTTCGGATGCTTTCTCCTCTTTTTGTCGCGTGGATTTTTCACGCTGGTGTCGTTGGATTTTCTAGTCTTGTTGAACGAACGCTGAAATTTGTTATCTTCTCGATCCATCGTTTTTAAGATCGTTCCCGACAAAACGTTCGAAATCTTCGACTTCGACTTCCTCTCTGCCAATTCGGGAGAAGCTTCCTCGATCGAATTGACGGTCACATTCTCGTTCAGAATATAATTGGGTTGGGGTTTCTTGGTGGTATTTTTCGGAGACGAATCGTGATCGATCCTGTTTCGCGAACTTCCCTCTTGTTTCTTTCTTCCTCGCTTTTTTGCATGGCTAACCGAATCCTGGGCGATGGTCGACTTCCCATAATTCTTCTTTCTCCCGTCTGGCCTCGAGGTATTAAACTTCCTCGCGAATCGTTCATCGTTGTACACGTTCCGCCACGTATATTTCTCTACGATGACGATGATCGCGATGAATGATCGGGACACTTGGCCCCTTTTGCTTCGGTTGAGTGGAAAAACGAGCAAAACAGACGCGTCATCGCGACGTAAATCCTGCTCTCGTCCCGGCGAGAGGAAGAAGAAGAAGTGGCCATTCGAGGAGGCCTAGGGAGAAAAATGGCGAATGGAGGGAAAGGACAGAGTCGTCGTGGAGTGATGGATCAACGATGGATCGAAAAAGTTTCTCGTTATACAGTAAAATTCCGATTAACCGGCATACTCGGGACTGGGGCAATGCCGGAAAATCAAATATGCCAGATAATTAGGCTATATCTACATATGAAGTGATAAAAATGAAGAATATAGTCACAGACTAAGTATACGAGTAGACTTTACATTCAATGTATTTTTTCGACCCATTTTTCTGGGGTTCAAATCGCAACATTACCAACAGGTTACAGAAATAAACAGAAAATGAAATTAAAGAAATATTTTTGCCCACATATTATACTTTCGGTAATGAATTTTTTTCTCGAAAGTGCATAGGATTTCGGAGGTATGTATGTTCACCAAAAATGATTGTAATTGACCCCCACAACTAAAAATAATTTTTTGAAAATGATTTAAAATTTTTTAAGTTCGCCGAAAAATTCCAGTGCCTAGTCGAATTTTTATCTCGAAAATGCGTATGATTTCGAGGGTATGTCTATTGACCAAAAATGATTATAATTAACCCCTGCAATCGAAAATAATTTTTCCAGGGTGATTTGAAACTTTTCAATTTTACTGAAAAACCCCCTGTCGATTTTTCTTAGAAATTCGTTTTTTATTTTTAGTAATTTTGTTTGACGCTATATAGAAAAGTTGTTTAATACTTTTTTATAGGTACCCATGAGCTCTGCTTCAGGAAAAAGTTTCATTGAAATATATTCACTATTGTAGGAGTTATGGCCGTTTGAAAATTGGACCATTTTTATAGGGGTTTTCTCATTTTGCGGGATCATGGAACAATTTTTCGAATATTTTTGGAGTTTCTACATATTCTTCGCTAAAATACGCGTTGTTTGCCGGTTGAAACATTAAAATCGTCCAATCCGTTCAAAAGTTATGACGTTTTAAAGATACGGAAGAAACTTTGGAGTGACATTTCTGGCCAGAAATTATATTATCGGTAAAGAATTTTTTTCACGAGAAAGGCTAGGATTTCGAGGATATGTCTATTCACCAAAAATAATTATAATTGACTCCCGCAATTGAAAATAATTTTTCCAGAACGATTTGAAATTTTTTTTTCGCCAAAAGATTTTGATTTTTCTTAAAAAGTCGTTTTTGATTTTTAATAAACACAACTGTGGCCGGATAATCGGAATCGTACTGTATACTGATCGTAAAATAAAATTTCCTGTTTGGGAATTTCTAAGTAATTTTGTAACGGTTACAAAGAAATCTGAATCTAGAGTTTCCATCGATGGAAATAATTTGTTTTTCTTTTTACGTTTCGTGTTCCGTTTTGTTCCCGATCGTATGCCAAACACTATTTACTCCTGGGGATGTTCTGCCTGTATAGACATTAACTCTTGTATAAATCGAGTACGGAATAAACTCACGTTACAGCGATATAGTATTACAAAATAACATCGCATTGAAACTGAGCGAAGGAAAATTACACAGTATTCAAATTTGCTTTGTACTTGGTTGGCTATTTGGAAATGAGATGCAACACATTTGTGTCTCTATTGTTGCCGTGTCGGTGTCGGCTCAAAACGACCTCATGCCATAGGAATACAGGTTATTTTGGAGGGTGAATGGAAACCGATGGGAATTGGACGCTTAAACATCTATTAAGGTAATTCCAATTCACACTATTAATTTCTGTTTCACGTACGATTTTAAATATTCAACTTTAATCGATAATGGTGGAACGGCCAATAAAGATATTCACTTTCAAATAAACTGCGTATCTAATTCCAATCTACTCTTTCGTGATTGAAAAATCAATCGCGTCCTCTTGCTTCTTCCTCTTCCTCTTCCCTAACTCTTAAATATCTGCGAACTCTTTAAAATGAAACCTTTGAAATTCCATTGCCAGACAATCGATAAGGGGAGCAGCGTCGTCTCAACCAGTCCCACTAAAATCACTGTCGTTTCGATCTCAGAAACAATTATCCCGTTTTTCCTTTCAACGACGATTTCAAATGTAATCAACGTCGCCGCGATCGTACCGATCAATTATAGCGGCGGCGTCCCGATTCCCGAGACTACGTAACACAGTGTTTATAAGACTGTATACGTGTGTGCGTGTAGGTGTTAGTGTGGGGAACGAGTAGGTGGTGTGAATGGCATAATTACCGCAGTCCCTCTCATCAGAGCCATCAGAGCACTCCTCCATCCCGTTGCACTGCAACTCGTAACCGATGCACCGGCCATCCGTGCAGCGAAACTCAGCTTCTCCGCAACCTGCTCCACACACCACACTCATGCACATTTAACCCTTTAACCGGCAATTCTCTCAGGAGATACGGAATCGTCCGATTTCCAAAGGAAAATATAAACAAACCGCGACGCCGCAACAAGTTGCATGCGGCCGCGCCGGGCGTCGAGAAATTTTTCGTTCGTTTTGTGTCGGCGATTTATTTAACACCTCGAACGACAGAGGATCATTTAATCGCACCGAAGGCCGAGAAACCGAGGTCCGTCATTTAATTTTATTAAAACAGAAATTGGGTCGGGCGATAAATTCGTCTAGGAACAAGCTTTATTATAAAATTAATGGCCTTCGTACGCTAATCCTCTTTTCCAGTTAAAGCCTTCGCGCGATACAATTATTTTCACATCGCGTGTCCAGCAATACCACAATTACGTCTATAAGTTTCGAGGAAGATCAACGATCTCTGTTGCAGTTCCACATATCAAAATGCTAATTTTTGGTTCGAGGCTGACCGGACATGCAGGAATTTGACGGTCGAGACGATTTCTCGTACGCTTTCGCCACGACCAGCGTCGAGTATCATGGATCGGGTACGTAATTTAAAACGCTACTAATTACGGTTGCCCTTTCTCGTCGATCGATCGCGCCGTTAAAGGGTTAAAAGTGCAGCAAAGCCGCCCCGATGCTCGTAGGCAGCCCCTGTTCCGCGAATAATACACGTAGCGTCGGCTTACGGATTCAAGCGTCGTTTCTGACGTGTTCCTTCCCCTCTCGTCCGTTCAAAATCAGCCGTGCACCGTCATTATCGCGCTCTTCAGCGAAATGACGACAGAACCCGGCAGTGGGATCCTCCGTGAATGATCAATGAAACGACCCGAGACACTTCGAGCGTCGTTCAAAATTAAACAAAATTCCCCACGCGCTTAAACAGCTTCGAAATTAATATTAGATTAAATATATTGTTGTTACAATAGTAAATTGCTGTATCGATACAGCGAACGACTGTGGAAATTGCAACATCCCGTCGTCCATTTTTTGGGAACCGTATTTTGAACAACGTTCGAAGCGACTCGGTGTCGAGCTCGTCGCTAAACGGAATCGGGAAAGAACGTGAAACTCATTGGAGATGATGATTTTTGCGCGAGAAGAAAATTTGGCGAAGCGTGCCATGGCGGAAAATTGCACGGGGGAAAGAAGCCATTTCCGGGCGGTGTTCGGTCAGCATGGAAAATCGTAAATTGAACGTCGACGAAAATCGGATTCCGCCGACATTTTCATCGTGGATCGTTCGGGTCGTACACATCGGGGGGTACAAAAAAAAAATTTAAGGATTATTTGGATAAATTAAAAACTCGTTTCGATGAACTCTTCGAAATTGGTGAGATTGGAACCGATTCGGGATATCCATTAAGTTGTCCAGAGACGGATTCCAACATCGAGGTAACCGAGGGCGTCCGATCGAACGAGAAAAAGAGGAAGATCAACCGATCTGCGGGGGATAGAATTAACCTGGTTGGGAGAAACGGCTGAAACGCAGCCAGAATCTCGCGTACAAATGGTGTCCTCTGCTCGATGTCGGAATCTTTCGGACAACTTCACGAACAACGCGAATCAATCTCCATCAACTGGTTGCTCGTTGCTCGGAGCAACTTGTTGCTCTTACGGCGAGCGTGGGCGTCGAAGGGGAATTTCAAACGTTTGTCGCTGGCTCGATAGACCATAATCGATCAGAAATCCCGGGAATCGGTCGAGCACGTCTTCGACCAAAACTGGCATCGCGAACGATCGTAGACGCGGATAGTAAATCGATCCTCTTGTTACTTAAGGTTTGCTCGAACCTATTGCTTGGTAATAAACAAAGTAAACTGTTCTCGAATCGGACCAGCAGAACAGGCTCCACTTACCGCACTGGTTCTCGTCGTCCCCGTTGCGACAGTCGACGACGTGGTTGCACCTTTTGTCGATGCTCAGGCAAGTCCCATCGATACACCGGAACTGGTCGGCGCTGCACGTGGTCACTGAAAACACCAACAAGCAAAGCAGATCAATTCTCCAGAAACGGGGAACGAGACTTCGACTGGGACCGTGTTCCCTTTGAAATCTAATTTGCATCTTCTGCGATTACGTTCCTGCAACGCGTACAACAAAAAGGAACCGAAAGAACAGGTTAGACCGCGGATGCTTAGACTGGACACTTTAAGGGGCCTTGCTACTTTGTGGGATTTAAAAAATCGAATTTTTTTTGCATTTTCTTTTAGTATGTAGTCTTGAAAATGTGTCTAGCAAATGTTAAATTGAAATTCGGAAAACTAACGAAGTTATAGCCTGCTGATATGTACCACGCGCAGGTAGAACAACTGGACGTGAAAGTTTGAAGCTGTTTTTCTCGAAACTACATTTTTCATCATCAACATCAAATTTATATAGTATCTTTAGAACTGGTCTCTCTATCGCATGAACTAGGATAATTGCGATATATGCAATACTTTTTCTTTTATTAACAAAAAAGCAACCGAATATATGAAAATATTCAGTATTTCTTCGTAAAATAACTGCCATTGTGCCATTTTTCGTTTTTTTTAAAAAAGATCCTAGTTTATGCGATTAAACTAATCTATATTATGAATATCTTTGGTTTTTGGATTTCGCCGTTCGTAAAAACTGTTGTTCGTTGATCAACAAAAACTGTGTAATCAATAGATATTATGCGTTGCAAAAATTCGTAAATATAGTTAAATACATAATAAATATATCCACAAAACCTGGAATTAATCGCTCTTTAATAGTCCGCAAAAAAAAATCACAAAGAAATATGTATTTTTCTTGCCTACAAAGTAAAATGGCCCCTTAATCTTCGTGCTGTGAAAATTTCAAGATCGTAATATTTGTTAGATTCGACCAAACATCCGTGGCCCAGCGACGACGGAACGAAAAGAAACGTAAAATAAAAAAGAAATACCGCTGCAATTGAATTCGTCGGAACGATCAAAACAGTCCGAACGTCCGTCGCATCTTGCGTTCTGGCTGACGCAATCTCCGCTGGAGCACTCGAATTCGTCCGGTCGACACCGTGCTGTTTCACCGAGACGGGATAAAAACAAATAAACAAAATGACACCATAAACAGAAAACGATTGAAAAGTAAATTATGAATTAAAGAGCGCCGCAGGTCGACGGCGGGGCGCAACGATTAAAACTTCAGCGGGACCATTGTTAGGGGAATGAAAAAAAAGCGTTTAAAACATTTCAAAAGCTCAATGCCACAATCGAATTCGAATTTACGGGACACCGCCGTTACCGCGAACGCGAAACAGCTGTAAACTTTTTAATTGTAATTTCATTGTGCCCGAGGACTTTCGTATTTTCTTTCGACGGGGTCAAACGAAGCAGTAATGAATAGTTTAACGCGACAAAGACTAAGTAAATTTTTACTCCCAGACACACGTGGAAAGAAACTGTTGTGCGAACTGTTTTCATAAAGTTGGAATCGAGTTCGAATTATTAGAAATAAATAAACGTTCCGAACGGATTTAAATTAAATTTTATATTTAACTTCCGCGTCTCGTACTGCATATTTCTTGCACGAAAATTCTAAATCTTCGTTTTCATGTCGAAAACTGCCCTCGCGAGTGGATCTGGGTTAGGTCGTGCGTTCATAGATTCCCTGTGTTCGCACTAAAATCAGGCGACCCGGAGTCCCGGAGAACACGAACGTGGCTAAAAAAGTTTCGCAAGAAAATTTTGTCCAATAAAAGTTTCCGACCCCGATCGAAACGAAAGCACGAGCACCGTTCGCGGTTTCGATTCTTAGGAAATGTTACGAGTGTCCGCGAAAATATTGCGCGTTTCAAAACCTTGATTTATCGTTGCCTCGTTTAAGTTTGTTTTATCTTCGAACGATAAACCCATCCAATTTACGGGAAAGAAAGGTACTTTCTGGTCGGATTTCTTTATAATTTCATCGAAACGCTCGAGACTTAAAGGGTTTAATAAAGCGAGGATTTATGACGCGCAATATTTCCAGGACCCATCTTAATAACACGAAGTACCAGTACCGGATACCGGTACCTCCTGCGAATTGATCGGTGACCAGAGGCGAAACGGAGCCAGGAACGTCCGTTTATCGGTCGGCGCTTGTTCACAGGGGATAATTAGGCGGTCGGTCGATCGTAATGAATCAGATTATTCGCGCCGAGTTCCATTGCGCCTCGCGTTCGACGCGGCAAGGAAAGGAAATAAGATTCAAAAGAAACGATCGACTACGAGCTCTCGGGGCACCGTTCGATTAATTACTTGAGAAACAAGCGTCCATTATCGGGATCGAGCAGTATATTCTTCGACGAGCGATTACTCGGACGAATAACCGCCCGAGGAGCCACCCCGTTTCACCCTGAAATCGAATCCTGCGCGTCGCTGCTGTTTCCTTTCCGCAGAAACGGTTCCAGCCCTTCGAATCGCCATCTTTTCGTTTCTTCTAACACAAACGGTGTCCATCTTAACCTCACCGCCTTGTATACTTTTTAATTTTCGACCTTCTTCTCATCCATTTCCCTCAGGTTTGCGACGAAATAAAAAATGGAAAGGAAGTTTTTCAGGAAAACAGAAGGTTTATATTATCGTCAGTTTGAAATTGAAAACTGATTTGTTTGTTTTGAGCTAGATTTCTAAAATAAAAATGAAAAGCAAGTCTTTCGACAGAAGGTTAATATTATTAACAGTTTTTTGATCCTTGAAATTGCAAATTGATTTGTTTCTGATATTCGTTGCTTTACCTAGTACTTCTCTAGTTTCTTGGAAACGTAACGTGTGGTGTGGATAAGTGGGACACACGGTATGTAATCGTTTCGCGGTAATACGTCAGGATTAAACTGGTCTTTCCGAGCGTTGAAAACGTTCTGAATGTTGAAACAAAATTAGTTTTCTACGTTGTCGTGGCTCGTTCGATGGGCGTAATTTATTGAACAGGGGTTAGCGAGGGACACGCAGGATAATTCAGGATCCCCGCGTCATGGGAGAAAGTAATTTTACACCTACGCGAATGTGCGCGCCGAGAGTCGTGTCTCGCGTTTATGGATCTTTCGATGATCACGAACGAATAGCTTCTCAGATTTGTATTACAATTACCATCGACGTTTTCTATACGTTTTCTACGACGAACTGTCTGGAATATTAAACTAACTACGCGTCTTTTTGTTCACAGAAATAGAATGATACCTTCGACTTTGGATTTCTTGCGCAGTTTGTGGTTGAAATCATCTTTTTCAAAGCAAAATTACAGAGTCAACGGGAAGGCTGAGAACCGAGCGAACTTCTGTCCAGAATTAGTAACGAGTTAATCTAATATTCCATCGGTATCGTTTCTATAATCCGTCGAATGCCAAAGCGATCGTCCACGATTAATATCCATCGGTTGCTTGCGAAACCAAAAATTCTAAGCATGCTTCCTCCTCATTTTCATGCGTCGCCAGGCAAAAGGAAGCTAAACATTCTGACATGCTCCTCCTCGAAGTGTCCTATTTATGTGATAGTGCGTTAGTCCCGTACTCATATTTTCGCAATCTCTCTCATCCTCGCCACCGTTACAATCCCTGAACCTGTCGCATCGTTTGGTCATAGGCACGCAATACCCCGGCGTGCATTCGAATTGGTCGTCTCGGCAGGCTGGAAGAATCGTAACAATTCGATCTGATAGGTCGTAGACGTTTCAACGATCGACGACACACAACGATAGACAATTTCCATCGATCGAACAAACCCCAGGGAGATGACGCAAGTTGAAAGCTCGATGAAAGATATACAGAAATGACGGTTCGACGAAGGCACACAGAGACAAAGAGGCGCACAATTAATGCGGGTGGTGTGTACACTGACAGCGATACGGATCGTCGATGCGGAACACGAAAGTTTCGCCCAGGACGACGGATCCTCTACAGAAGAACGAGTACGGAGCGATGGGACTCAAACGTTTCTACTACTGATAATCGATAATCCCCTATCCAAGTATTACGAATCTAACAAATTTCTTAACGTCTTACATCTCGTTATTAACAGAGATTTAATTCTGATTGTAAACAGAAATTCGAGAGGCCCTTTACCGTATTGCGATCCGATAATTCCTCTGTAAAGCGTTGACGTATAACGTTTTGGAAATACGAAGATATCCGGAGATCGAAAGCTACGCGAAATGCCGTTCGAACGTATGAGAAATTGGAGAAATAGTTTACGAGTCGCGCGAGACACTCTGTGTATCGATGTTTGGCGCGGCAGTGATACATATTGAGCTCGATTCCCGACCCTATATGAAGCACCACGAGGCCGATGCTTCCTTTTTTGAAGGGGGAACGGATCTCCGGGAAGCGTTCCGCAGATTTACGAGTAGAACGTTCGACTTCCGGAAGAGTAACGGTCTGGTATCGACGATGCGGGCCGGATGTCGGACGGAATTCCGGCTCCGACGGGCGAAAAGACGCTAGACGCCGCGAGAAAGGAAGAAAATCAGTCGTAGAGAATTAATTAACCGACTAGATGGTGGAGCACCGTGAACCCCGGGTTGCCCATTCATTAACACGCGCCCAAGGAAATTTCGCGGAAGAGATTATAAATGAACAAGGCGGTACGACGGGGGAGGGAATGCGCGGCTCTAATTTACGGCAGCAATTAGCTAACGATCGGGGATGAACGATTCGTCGAACCGAGTGCACTCGAAAGAATGAACTCCCTGGACTGCGCCGTGGAACCAAAGTTTCTCTACGTGCGGGAAATTTAGACGAAATTTCCAACCCTTCGGTTGAGAACGTTAACAAGAATCCTCGATACGAAGGCGATTATTAATTCTCCGTACGTCTGAAACGGCCTGTAGATCGTTTCGGAGGCTCGAACAATCGAAATGAAATGGTCGATCGAAAGATAACGAGAGAAAAACAGTTCGCCTTCGACCTCCCTCCGCCCCCTCCCTTCTCCCCACGTCGATCAGTCGGATTAATTCAGATCCGCGCTCGTAATGCGTTTCCTCCCGATCGCGTGCCGCCATTTTTTCGCATGTAAAGGAGTCAACGTTCAGGAAAAAAAGGCTAGAGGTGTATCGCGTAAACGTAGCCGTTTAATGGAAACGCGGGGATACGGTGCTGTAATTACCGTGGCTACATAACGCGTGCACGTCTCGCGTGTCGACGATGCAAACCAGAAAAGCGAACTCTTTCAACAAAGCGATGAAAAAACATTGAAATGGTTCTTTTCAAACGGCGGGCCACCTTTGTTTTCATTAATTGTTCGCGACTGTTCGCGAATCACCCGCCGAGGAAATAAGGTTTTTTTCGTCGATTTTTCGCGCGTCAAGGGGCTCTGCTCGTTGTGCACTTTTTGGACACCTGGTACGTGAAACCCGTGTCGCCCCCAGCGAGTTACCGTATAGGGTGTTTCCCAATCGGTGGCACGATCGAGAGGGAAATTAAAAACTGCGATGTAACATATTTCCGTACGGAGCATCCTTCTCGAGAAACTCGACTTTGGAAATAAATAAATTGAGATAATTTTGTAACGTGTAACGCGTACATATCGTAGTCTAGTGATTTTACGTTAAAAAGCAAGTCGGAAAGGTAGACTAAATGTTTTTCGTACGAGCCTTTGTTTTCGAAGAAATCGACTCTGAGTACAACTTGGAGTTCAAGTAGAAATGGCGCATAATAGTCAGACGCGCCAGGGAAATCGCACTCGATCGCACGCATAGCCGAGTAATTTTCAAACTCAATTATTTTGGAAACGAAACATCCGATGGACAAATCTTACTGTACATTTTTGATTTATTTCTCACTCAGTAATGTTTGTAACTTGATTTCAGGATGCTCAAATTTCGTAACGATAGTCTACACACGCTGGAAATATATTCTCTTTCCTAGTAAAAACTAGTGCCTTGAAACATCTCGTAACCTCGAAGCTTCGTTCTCAAAGAGGCTCGGAGCGATAAAGAAAAGAATTTTGCTATTTTTGTAGACTTTTGTCGAGGGATCGTCCAATTGGTCGCTCGAAATCGTAATTTGACCGCGCTTCGACGAACAGAGCCCCGCAATCTGACGTCGCGCATAGTTTACGACCTCAGTTCGGAATTTTCAGCAGAAATTATTCCTTCCCGGCGATTAGATCGCGAAAAATGCACGTGTAAGTTATCACGCCGATAAGATCAAGGTAACCGAACGCGCGACAAAGAAATAGGTCACCGACAACACCGACGAACAATGCGTTCCGTTCTCCGCGATACAGTATTGTAAAAATCGAGTTACCGCCACGGTCGACGCGCATTGTTCCTCGAAAGATCGATGCCCCTCTCGATAATCCTTTCCGACCGGAGTCGAAACATCCTGACAATCGACGACGTTTTCGGAATCACACTTTTGTTAATTCCGTCCCACTGCAACGCTGTTTATTATTCCGAACGATCTATTTAAGATAACCGAACGGCATCGTCCAAATAAAAAATCCCAACAGTGGTTTTTAATCTTTTCGGAATAACGTACCGAACAAGATGAAAACTTGCAAATGTTCCATATAAAATTTTAGTATTTTCTGATATACCACTCCTTAGGGTAGGTGTGTTTGACTGTAATTGGTTTTACTACGTTTTCAGGCTCGATTAATTTCCATTTCTGAGAGATCGAGGGATGCAAAAAGTCTGGGGTTATTAAATTTTGACCATTAGCGATATTGTATAGGATGAATATTGAAAAAATCATATCGTCGTTCGAGACAGATAAATATCAGGTCGTTTTTAATGAGAGTATTTTTAAGCATCGCGACGATTCGAATTAAATGTAAAAAAATAACGGCATTTTAAGTTGACGGTGATGTATGATGCATAGCGTTTCGACTTTTATTTAGCTATTTTTTTTTTTACAGATTTTACAACAGAGAAATAAACGAAAAGATATGCGCAAACGTTGGAGGGATTGTAACGAAACTAAAATAAAATGGGAGGAACATTTGTTGCGTGAACTCGTCAGATTTTTCCTTTTCAAATTATAATGAAACAAATGCAAATTATATGAGTGGTATTCCTAAGTATTCCTAATGACATTATTTCAGAATTTACAACTATTAACGTTTATTTATTGTGAGCGTTTTAAAAACACGTTGTGTGTGACGGGTAACCGGAAGTATCATAGCCCAACTAGGGTAGTTTCTGGACCGTGCTGTGCGAGATATGCGGTCGGGTGCTGTCATGCAGTAGTATAGTCCTGTTCCATCGACCAATGGAGGCTGTATTTGACAAAGTCTCTCGTGCAAATTGGGAAATAACGTTCAAAGTTACTTTTGCATCTTCAGAAAACACCAAATATTCAAAATATAACTATAATCAAACTAAAAAGTGACTGTACCGTTGCTTCGATGGATTTAGAATTTGGAATACGTTTAAAAACGGATGATTTTTACTCCTAAGATGTCAGGTCTCCATGGAACCTTCTATATTTGCTCAACAATCGAATAAACGACTGTTTATACTTTATTCAGCGCTCGAAATTCGTATAAAAATTTTATCGTGTCTCTGCAGCGAAACGATGCTACAGCTCATTAACGTTTTAGAAATTTCAAAAGGTCATTTAATTCGGTGATCGAGAATCGTGGGTTCGCTGTACCGCGGATAACCCATTTTTTCAGATTCAAATTCGCGTGTCCTACTCATTGTCAGATTTATTTCTCGTATCGTCGTTCCGGTCGCGACAGCTATTGTTTCGGATAGTTCGTCGAACGAAATCGCGAGGCAAAGGTTCTTCCTGATAAATCTGCGATCACGTTTTCCCCATGAACGTTCCAAAAAAAAAGGAGGGGATGAAAAGGGAAGTAAAAAAAGGCTAAATTAATCGAATTCCGACGAATCAACGGAAACGAAGGGAACGTGAGCCCAGTTCGGCGGCCGATCGAAATCCGTTTACGATTTAACGCGATTTGTCGGGACAAGTGCGTGCCTTTTCGCTCGATTGGCGAATATAAAGCGCGGCATCGCGACCTCGAAATTGGCAAACGTGTCCGCGACGAGGCACGCGACGCGTGACACGCCTCGCAACAGGAAGTTCAAACAGATTCTGCGATTTTCTGACATCGTACCGAGTTCAAGGCTCGCCTCGCCCATTCTACGGCAGAATTGCAAATTACTATGTACGCGATACGATCTCTCGGTTTCGACCCTAAGGCGACGACCGCTCTCCGTCTTTTTCCGCAATCGAACGTTCCGATCGCCTCGACGATTCAAGTATTCGGCGGTTCATAAATAAACGGTCTTCTAACTCCTCGTCGTTTGTCAATTTTTCTACGCATCTGTCCCAATAATCGTATGGAAATAAAGTTACAGAGGTTACAAAAATTAGTAATAAGACAAATCTTAGATTCATAATTGTTTCAAATCCAAGTTTTAGGATTACTTGGCAAAATACGTTAAAAAACCAACTCAATTTTGTAATATTGATTTTGGTATGAGCTCTACATATCATTACATAATTACACAACTCCACGTATCATTATTATTTGACCAATTGTATGGATAAAGGCATGCAGGTTGATAATGTTAACATTGACTTTTCTAAAGCCTTTGATTCTATTAATCATTCAATCTTAGTGTTCAAATTAAAGGAATTAGCTTTCTTGGCTATCCAGCTTTTTAGAGTTCAAATAGTTAAATTCAATAATAATTACTCAAGAGAAATTAATGTTACATCTGGTGTTCCACAAGGTTTACATTTGGGACCTCTTCTATTTATAATATATATTAATGACATTTCTAAGATATTCAAACACTCTAAATTTTTATTGACGATGATCTTGAGATATATAAATGTGTTTATAATCAGCAAGGTGATCAATCAATTTAAGATGACCTTTACAGGCTTCAGAATTGGTGCTAATTAAATAAATTGTCCCTCGATCTAGATAAGTGTAATATTGTGAAGTTTAGTAATAAGAAAAATAATATAGTTTGTAATTATACTCTAAATGGTATCGTAATAACCTCGTTTAATCATGTTAAAGATCTCGGTATAACTTTCTCCTCTAACTTATCTTTCAAAGTTTATTATGATTATTATTTCGCATAGTCTTTGCTCTATGGGACTTATTCATAGAGTTTCTAGATACTTTAGTAAAATTAATTATCTCAATATCCTATATTATGCTTTGACAAGACCTATTCTAGAATATGGCAGCATAATTTGGTCTCCTTATTACAAAACATATATCGACAACATTGAGAGGGTTCAACAGAAATTTCTTCGTCTTGTTGCTAGGCATAGTGATGATTATGACTTAGTTATTAACACTAATCTTCGAACATTGCATAATAGAAGAAAAATCACAGATATTATGTTTGTAAGTAAGCTAATCAAACTTTTGAGTCACATTTCGTGTTCAACGATTAAGATATTTATGAAATCACTTACTATTTAGATCTCAGAATTGTGTAAATAGGATGATTGTGCACACTAAAACTGATTTAATTGAAGGATCATTAGGAAGTCTAAAATTATCCTTCCAACGTATTCTAAATTAATTCATTTTGTTAAAATTTTACAAACGATAACGTTTGACTGTGTAAAATCCACATTCGTAGTTCCTTACACATTACATCTTTTCTACTAAAAGGTTCGTGGCGTCGCCTCCCATGCTCGCCACCAGAGGGGTCGCGCTCTCACAAGCGCTCGACCGACCCCTCCTACGAATTTCCCGAGATTCAACCCTCAGCAGCAGCGCCACAAGTTTATTCTCGTTAATAAATGAATAATAATAATAATATCCTCGCATAAATAATTTTCCACGAATATCCAACAGTCCCCAAAGTTTTGACCGACAGTGTACTTTCGTTGCTCAAAGCAGACCACGCGCAGAAAGTCGACTAGGCTCGCCTATTCTATCCTGATGATTCTCGGTGTAATTCACCGGTTCGTTCATGAACCCAAACTAATCCTGCGGCTTCCGGTATCAATCAACGAACGTGTGGTGTTTTAAATACTTGTGGCGCGTGCTAATGGCACTGACCATAATTAGTGTTGGATGCGTTGATCGATCGAAACGTTGCGAACAGCGAGAAACTTACGCGAGACGAACAGCTTTTTTCGAGACACACCGGAAACCGGGAGATCTACGAAATTATTTGAAAAATAAGGATTCGAAGTGCCTCAAATCCCGCCGCTGTATGCAAACGAACCGTCAGGCGAACGAAAAATCGGCGTGTCACGGATGTTTGCGCGATTCTGTCGGAGGAGGCTGGCCGAGAGCCACCGGTCGTGAATCAGAATTGGATTAAACCGGCGAAAACGCTCGAAATTCCTGCGACCGTGGCTGCGAAAGGGCCCCCGGAGCAGATCCGCTGGAGATTAACGTCGGATTAAAATTGCGGCCGGTTATTAGGGCGGCTTAATAAACGCGAGTAAATCTCGTTCGTCGAGCGGGGGTCTGCCTTTAAATTCGGCGCCGCGGCGTCGATATTAATGCCGCTAATGAAGTTTGTTGACGAATTGAAAAAAGGGGGGAAAAAATCGGGGAAAATCTTTCGACCCGGCGTTCGCGAAACGGGAGACAGACGAAAATTGCTTTTCCCTCCCCCGAACATCGCGTAGATACGAACGTAACTTTGTCGAGCGATTACCGACTAATTCGTAGCGAAACGGGCGCGCTGACGCGGCCTGTGTTTAATTTTTGAAATTATTTTGTCGCCCGGTGGCAAAAGGAGACGTAAACTCTGACGGTCGTGGGGGGTTGTAAATTTTTTCCCCCCTCCCGCCACCGGAGATGAAACTTAATTTCTCTGCTCGACGCAACATTGTTGCCCGCGAACGCTCGGTTTTATGCGAGTCGTTTTTCGGACGAAGTTGGAAAGTACGGAGGTAGATTTCGCAGGTTATCCTAAACTTTTACTTCTTGTACAAAATATAATCGAGGGGAATCGTATTGAAACGCCGTGTACACGAATAAAATTGTCTGTCGTGTAGCTGGAAGTCTGGCGAACCGATTTTGATTAAACAGCGTTCTACTCTGTATGCACGTATCAGGTAGTTTGTGCGGCTATTTATCATCGTGCCTCCACCGAACAGGGATAAGCAATAAACAATTATATGTAAAACGCGGTTGCGTCTGGCTGTTTGCTACCGCGTCACGGGCAAAACGGCTGGAGGGATCGCGATGAAATTTAGAACGGAACCCGAAAGTAGACCAAGTTAAAATATCAGCTATGCAACATCACAGAATTACTGCCTGGAGGTCGGCTGTCGAGGACGTCACGTGTAAAATGTATGATATCTCGTTTGTACTTCCTCTCGCAGCAAAAGCATTTATGACGTAGTTTGTTTGAAATTAAATTTAGAAACTTTTTTTGTTGCGTGAAAACTTTCGTTGCGCGAACGCGTCCGTTGAAGAACTAAAGAAAAACGAGCATTGCCGACGGAAGCGGCCGAATTTTCGTCCGTTCGTTTGGGAAATATTTGATTGTACGATCGGATTTCTAATTTTTATTCAACGATGGAGTAAACGATCGCTTATCTCGTTTCGTCGCTGGTTGACATTAATCTTTCCTGCCCGGTGCATGAAAAGTAAATGAATCGAAGAGTCACGAGGCAAAGTTGAGCATCGGAGCTAGTCACGTGAAGGGACGATGGAAATAATAAGGGGTTACGAGGACAGAAAGATAGGGGAGGGTGGCAAGGCGTGGGGGAGTGACAAGTGCAACGGCCTGAAAACGCGAGGCCAACCCCCTTCTTTTTTCGTGCACGCTATTGTTATTGTCACAGCTATTACAATTATTGAGCTCATCGTAATACCTCCTCGTTCGCGATTAGTTCCGGCGCAGTCGCATGCAAGCACAATGATGGCCCGCGATAGGATGACTGGCAAGACCACCCTGCATTTTATAGCTTCAAATTGTCTATTGCAAATAGCTCCGATCATGCTGGATTTTCTGTTAAAAATTATCGATCGACCGTAACATTTCATTTCTTTGGAATACCCACTGGACCAAAGTTTTTTAAAATTCACACAAATCAGTAGAAATACCTAAACAACGAACGATTTTTGCGAACATCTAGAGTTTGGAATTTCCTGTGCAAGACGAAAAATCGAATCCATCGCTCCTTAGGACATTCACATCGTACGGATAAACAAGCCAATCGAATGTAATTTACAGACTGTACGAAAACAAAGGTTAGTTCGAATCCATCGTTGGTTATCAACATTTACGTTTTACGAGTCGATGGAAAGAAGAAGGTTTGATAGGCGAAACCGTTAATTTAAAGCACTTAGTACATTAACATATTAACGTGCAAACGATTAAAATTAGTTTCAACGACGCTTGTCGATGGAACGAGCACGATTAAGCGAGATTACAAAAAGCGTCGAGCTTTCCGCGAGATTAATTTTAAAAACCGCGCGACAGCTGACATAATTCCGTGGAACGCGCGCCGCGTGCAAAATCGAAACGAACGCGCGCCCCGATAGCCATTGACGAATGCGCGAACACACACACGGACGCACACAGCGTTCAAGCAACAATGCAAGCTGAAAAAAGAAACGTAGTAATATTTTGTAATACAACAATAACGACGAATAATAATATATTTCCTTTGATATACTCACGGCAGTTGAGTTCGTCGGAACCATCGTGACAATCCTGGACGCCATTGCAATGCTCGCCGCTGTCGATGCATTGGTTGTTTTTGCATTTGAATTGGGTCGGGGTGCAGGCTACGCATAAAAAGAAAGAAAAATTTAACCCTCTGTTGCAAAACGTTTCGACTTAATGAGATTTCAGAAACAGAACATGCTCCTTCGTTATTAATTTCTACTTTGGTCCATGTAAAAATGACGACAGTTTCTTGCGCTATTCAGACATTTAATTAATGTCGAAAGTACTTACTCTGTTTATTTTCGTAGATTTCGTAAAGTGTATTTTTTATATTTAAAACCTGTTTCTCTTTATAGACCAGTAAATGGGGATTTCAATGACGTAAATGGCACGGAAGAATAGAAAATTGCGATATTGCGCAAATGCAGTGACTTCAATGCTGCACGTTTCAATTTTAGACGCGTCTATTTAACCTCTATGTCTGGTGTGCCAAACTCGTGTTGATCTTTACAACAATTCGTGTTGTGCTACCATGTGGAGAGCCGCAGATGTGTAATTAATTCATAGGAGATGAAAATGGGTAAAGATTTTTGGACGTAGTCGTAAAAGCTATAAATTTCGATCCCTGAAACCGCGTTACAATTTCTTGTCAATAAAATAAATGAAAAAACAATTAAAATGAATGACCAAAAGGCCGCGTAATTTTCTCGACTCCGCTGACGCGGCCCTCGTTGTTTGTCCTTTCGCGGCAAGTGCAACAAGAACCCGTTGCACTCGAATTTCTTCGACGTTATCCACTCGACAGAGGACGCGCGATCCAATAATGCCACTTGCTCGGCGTTTAATATAAATTCGTACTATCCGCCGCGAAGGGTGCCATCGAACTTCAAAGACGAAATCGAACGCCCAAGCGAGTCGATTTTCGACGTCATCTGGACTCGATCGGACGGATTTCCATCCTAGAATTCGCGCAGTTTAATAAAATGACGATGTGCAACCCGAGAACTCGATTGTGCAAAAGAGCTCGAACAGTTCGAGACACCCAAAGTATTAAAGACTCGAAACGTTCGTTGTCGCGATTAAACAGCAAAAATATATTCGCCCCGATCAACGAAGGTGGGAGGAGGAGAAAACGCGCGCGTCGATTAAATGTTTCCCACCGAGCGACGACTTTTTTCACGTTCAGTGATTTATTATCGAATCGCCACACTCGAGAACTGTCAAAAAAAAAAAAAAGGGGGAAAATATGCTCGGGCCAGTGTGTATTGCGTTACGGATAAATACTAGCCGAGAGCGGTCCTGTTTCAACGGGCTCCAGTCCGTTTCCACTCGGACGATATGAGTCCGTCGACCACGGTGTTGTTTCAGCAACTGGATCGGCGCCGGGCTATCTCGTTTTCACAATTATGTCATGTTCATTCGAGACAAGCCGTTCGCCGCGCTTGGGATAACGTTACAGTGACGCGTAAAGCGGAGGAGTCGCGTTTCCCGGATCGAACCGATTCCCCTACTCGTTTTGGCTCGACTCGTCTCGATATTGTTCACGACAAATGTGTTAAGCCGCGTCAGGCACGGCAATGACAAAAATTGCGTCCACATTTGTCATCTAGCATGGCCAATCGGCACCCTAAGCACTTATCAGCAAAGTCAAACAATCTAAAGACCTGCATCGTCTCGGACAGCATGGCTTGAAAAGCTAAATGGCTTGCTAACGAGTCGATTGGCACCATGTTGGTCACCATCAAAAGAGATTGTGCCAAGAGTTAACTCCTGTTGATGCCATTTTCCCAGAAAACAAGCAGAAAAATGCAGAGTGCATCGGTCAAGCAGTCTGTTGCGTCCTCAACGTACAGAGTTACATGTCACTTTCGTTCCAAAATCATCATCGAGATACAAATATACAATTTTACTACAAAAATTATGGTGATCTTAATTTTGTATTGAATAAAAAGATTTTTGCCAATTTTTTCGTTTACCATTTGTTGTCACATGATTACTGAGTAATTTTTATTGAAAAATTTTTTTGTCAGAATTAATCACTGGTGTACATAGAATATAGGGTTAAAGAATACAAAATTAACGTTTATTTGAACTTTTTAACGACAAGAAATTGCAGTTGCTTAATTAATTTCTGACTTGACCAAATTAAACCCTGACCATGGTCTAAGGACCTTAGCTACTCGTATATCTGTCAATTTACTTGTTCCGGAAACTGAAACATGTAAACAGTGACACTTGTTAGTCGAGTTTACGACCTCGCTATATCGTAGCCCGGCCTATACATATGTACAGGGTGTTCGACCACCTGTGGGAAAATTTTAAAGGGAGATTCTAGAAGCCAAAATAAGATGACAATTAAAAATATCAATTTCTTGACTGAGGCTTCGTTAAAAAGTTATTAAAAAATTAAATTAAAAAATTTCAAATTATTCTGAAAAAATTATTTTTGGTTCCGGGGGACAATTACAATCATTTTTGGTGAATACACATACCCCAAAAATCCTACCCACTTTCGAGAAAAAAAATTCGGGTAGATGCTCAAATTTTTCGGTGAAAAAAAGTTTTGAAATCGTTCTAAAAAAATTATTTTCGGTTGCAGGAGTCGAGTACAATCATTTTTGGTAATTACACATACCCCTAGAATCCTACGCATTTTCAAGAAAAAAATTCCTTATCGAAAATCTAATGTGAGGCCAGAAATGCTTCCCTGTAATTTCATGCGTATCTTCAAAACGTCATAACTTCTGAACGGATTGGACGATTTTAATTTTTCAAAATGCAAACTACGCATATTTTAGTGACGAATATGTGAAGATTCCAAAAATATTCGAAAAGTTCTTCTTTGACTCCTCAAAATAAGAAAAACCCCATAAAAATGGTCCAATTTTCAAATGTTTATAACTCCTACAATAGTGAATATATTTCAATGAAACTTTTTTCTGAAGTAGAGCCCATGGGTACCTACAAAAAAGTATTAGACAACTTTTCTATAGGGGGTCAAACAAAATTATTAAAAACCAAAAACGAATTTTTAAGAAAAATCAACAAGGGGTAGTATCTAAATTTTTCGAAAAATTATTTTCAGTTGCGGGGGTCAATTACAATCATTTTTGGTGAATCGACATATCCCTGAAATCCTGCGCATTTTCGAGAAAAAAATTCAGTACTCGTGGAACTTTAAACGTTAATAACTTTTTAACAAAGCCTCCATCAACAAATTGATATTCTTGATTTTCGTCTTATTTTGTCCTCTAAAATTTGCCATTAAAATTTTTCCCAGGGGTGGCTGGACACCCTGTATATTGGAGTTCGGAACAAAACTAATAACTCCTAAACTATTCAATTTTCGACCTAAGACCCGTAAAACTTTTTTTAAGAAGATACAAAGATGCATTAATTTATGGAAAAAAAAATAGAATTTTACTAAAAAAATTAAGGTGATCTTAATTTTTTATTAAATAAAAAGTTTTTTATAATGAGAAAAAGGAGGGCCGTACTGTCAAGAGTGCCCTCACGATCCTGGTTTTCTGTCAGGGTACAGAATTGTGTTTACTCTTGCCGTGACTAGTCGTGAAATACAGAGTTTCAGAAAGTCCACCACGTGTCAATTTTATTCAAATGCCCAACCACTATTCTGTGCGAAATCTCATTTTTCTTACGTATGCATGTTTCGAATAACGAATGGAAAAGATAACAGATTTTGACCATTGTTCGAAAACTTCCTATCTTCGATGATTTTTATAAAAGCGACTATCAGATTGAATGCGTATGGGACGGTTTATTCACTGTTTCTGACAACCGACGCGTGCAGGTATTGCTCTACAAATTAACTCTTTTGCACCATAGAAGCAGCAAGCATTCCAGAACGATCCGCTTAACACTCTGGCTCGCTGAAACGGTCAAGTATGCTTATCAGAGAGGAATAAGAACGCGGAGAACGCAAGATAGGATCAGCTAGCGTTCGCCAAAGAGAAGCAAGTATGCTTTGACACCGGAGACTGACATCTGATCCTCCTACTGGACTCCAGCTCATCATTCATCGTCGCAGCTTCCAGTCAAACCGCCATTCCACCGCAACGAGAATTTTCCTTGACTCTCGTCGATGTTGCGCGAAACTGGTGGATCGCTATGGATCTCGCGTTACTCCGATAGCCACGTCGACGTACAACGATACCAGAACTTCAAAATAGTAGGATACCCGAGTGTCAAGATTCAATTAGGGTTATCGCGGAGTCTTGAAGATTTCTCGAGGCTAACAAGCTCGGTTTGGTTCGCTCGAGAAGGTGCTAAGTAGCAGAGAATAATAGCAAACGTCGATTTTCACGTCGAGTCGAAGCTCTGACGTTCGCTCGTCGCCTGTTCGCCCCGACATTCCGGATAATCGAGTCGCATCAAAATTCGACATTAACATTTTTATTGGAACCGAGGAAACGAGATGGTGAACCGCGAAAGTGAAATATTGAGGAAGCAGCCTGTCGCGAGCGTGAACTAAGGTGGATGGAAAAGTTTGCGCGGTTCCTTCTTCCTTTTTTCAAGCTCTAAAGATGCACGGAGAAAGCCCATCTTTACGACGCGCCCCTTTTTACACCCGCGATTCTCTTATCGCTCACCTACTCTCTGTATCCCTCTCTATCCACCTTTCTCTCTCGATCATAACTATTTAAAGCGCGAGAAGTTCTGAAAATTGCTGTTCGCCGTGTAACCACTTTGACGCGCAAGTTCAGCGCTTCGTTGCTTAAGACTGCGCCATTTTCTGCCTTTGAAACACCCCACAGCACGGTTCTTCAGCGTTTCGTCCTTTTTCGATTACTTCTGTCCCGATCGAGTCCCGTTGATCCAGCATACGGGAGGATTTTATTTATAAACAAGAAGTGTAACGACGCCATTTTCGCTAACGTGGTGTCTCGTAAACGAAGAACTTACGACCTACTGTTAAACACGACGAAGGAAGAGTTTTTGTCTAGGGTCGTGTTTTTTTACGTATAACAAAGTTTCAATGATTAAGAAATGTCTTCGATAGCCTCTGATATCGATATTCCTGTTCCATAGAGCCAAGAAAAACGAAGGGGGAGGGCCACGAAACACAGCGTGCTTCCTTCTTTCAGCAGACTCTACGGTT